ATCCTGATACCAAAACCCGGCAGAGACCCAACGAGAAAAGAAAACTTCAGGCCAATATCCATGATGAACATAGATGCAAAAATCTTCAATAAAATATTGGCAAGCCGATTGCAACAGCAAATCAAAAAACTTATTCATCATGATCAAGTAGGATTCATCCCAGGGATGCAAGGCTGGTTCAACATACACAAGTCTATCAACGTAATTCACCACATAAACAGAACCAAAAACAAAAACCACATGATTATCTCAATTGACGCAGAGAAGGCATTTGACAAAATTCAACAGCCCTTTATGCTAAAAACCCTCAATAAACTCGGTATCGATGGAACGTATCTCAAAGTAATAAAAGCTATTTACGACAAACCAACAGCCAATATCATACTGAATGGGCAAAAACTGGAAGCATTCCCTTTGAAATCTGGCACTAGACAAGGATGCCCTCTCTCACCACTCCTATTCAATATAGTACTGGAAGTTCTAGCCAGAGCAATCAGGCAAGAAAAAGAAATAAAGGGTATTCAAATAGGAAAGGTGGAAGCCAAATTGTCTCTATTTGCAGACGACATGATAGTATACCTAGAAGACCCCATCGCCTCAGCCCAAAAACTCCTGAAACTGATAAGCAACTTCAGCAAAGTCTCAGGATATAAAATCAATGTGCAAAAATCACAAGCATTCGTCTACACCAATAACAGACTTAAAGAAAGCCAAATCAAGAGCGAACTGCCATTCGCAATTGCTACAAAAAGAATAAAATACCTTGGAATACAACTCACAAGGAGCGTTAAGAGACCTCTTCAAGGAGAACTACAAACCACTGCTCAACGAAATCAGAGAGGACACAGATGGAGAAACATTCCATGTTCATGGTTAGGAAGAATTAATATCGGGAAAATGGCTATACTGCCCAAAGTAATTTACAGAATCAACGCTATCCCTATCAAGCTACCATCGACTTTCTTCACAGAACTGGAAAAAACCACCATGAACTTCATATGGAACCAAAAGAGAGCCCGCATAGCCAAGTCAATTCTAAGCAAAAAGAACACAGCAGGGGGCATCACACTACTGGATTTCAAACTATACTACAAGGCTACAGTAATCAAAACAGCATGGTACTGGTACCAAAACAGAGATATAGACCAATGGAACAAAACAGAGGCACCGGAGGCAACACAACATACATACAACTATACAATCTTTGATTAACCTGACAAAAACAAGCAATGGGGAAAGGATTCCATGTTTAACAAATGGTGTTGGGAAAACTGGCTAGCCATGTGCAGAAAGCAGAAACTGGACCCCTTCCTGACACCTTACACTAAAATTAACTCCAGATGGATTAAAGACTTAAACATAAGACCTGGCACCATAAAAACCTTAGAAGGAAATCTAGGCAAAACTATCCAGGACATAGGAGTAGGCAAGGACTTCATGAACAAAACACCAAAAGCATTGGCAACGAAAGCCAAAATAGACAAATGGGACCTAATGAAACTCCACAGCTTCTGCACGGCAAAAGAAACAGTCACTAGAGTGGATCGGCAACCAACAGAATGGGAAAAAATTTTTGCAGTCTACCCATCTGACAAAGGGCTGATATCCAGAATTTACAAAGAACTCAAACACATTTACAGGAAAAAAACAAACAAGCCCATTCAAAAGTGGGCAAAGGATATGAACAGATACTTTACGAAAGAAGACATATATGAGGCCAACAATCATATGAAAAAATGCTCATCATCACTGGTCATCAGAGAGATGCAAATCAAAACCACATTGAGATACCATCTCACGCCAGTTAGAATGGCGATCATTAAAAAATCTTGAGACAACAGATGCTGGAGAGGATGTGGAGAAAAAGGAACACTTTTACACTGTTGGTGGGAGTGTAAATTAGTTCAACCATTGTGGAAGACAGTGTGGCCATTCCTCAAGGCCTTAGAAATAGAAATTCCATTTGACCCAGCAATCCCATTACTGGGTATATATCCAAAAGTCTGTAAATCGTTCTACTATAAGGACACATGTACACGAATGTTCATTGCAGCACTGTTTACAATAGCAAAGACCTGGAATCAACCCAAATGCCCATTGATAATAGACTGGATTGGAAAAATGTGGCACATATACACCATGGAATATTATGCAGCAATCAGAAATGATGAGTTTGTGTCGTTTGTAGGGACATGGATGAATCTGGAGAACATCATCCTCAGCAAACTGACACAAGAACAGAAAATGAAACACCGCATATTCTCACTCATAGGTGGGTGATGAAAAATGAGAACACATGAACACAGAAAGGGGAGTACTAAACACTGGGGTCTATTGGCGGGAAAAGGGGAGGGCCAGTGGGAGGGGGAGGTGGGGAGGGATAGCCTGGGGAGAAATGCCAAATGTGGGTGAAGGGGAGAAGAAAAGCAAAGCACACTGCCATGTGTGTACCTACGCAACTGTCTTGCATGCTCTGCTCATGTACCCCAAAACCTAAAATCCAATAAAAATTAAAAAAAAAAAAAAAATGCATCAGAATCACCCAAAACGCTTGTCAAAAATAGACTGCTAGGCCATACCTCCCACATTTTTCGTCCAGGTCTGGGGTAGAGGCTGAGAATTTGCATTCCTAACATGTTCCAAGGTGATACTGATAATAGTGTTCCAGGACCACTTTGAGAATTAATGCATATGATTATAAATCAAATAAGTATGCTAAAAATTAAAAGGTAAACACTCAAATAACTAAAGTAGAATACAATTGATCCTTAAACACAGGTTTGAACTGTGTTGGTCTACATTTACACAGATTTTCTTCCACTTCTGCCATCCGAGACAGCAAGACTGATCCCTCCTCTTCTTCCTCCTCCTCTTCAATGTGAAGAGGACAAGGATGAAGACCTTTATGATGATTCATTAAGGTCTTAACAAGAAATATATTTTCTCTTAACAAAAAATATATTTTCTCTTATAATTTTTTTTCTTTTCTCTAGTTTACTTTATGGTAAGAATACAGCATATAATACATATAATATATAAAATATATGTTAATCAACTGTTTCTGTTATCAGTAAGGCCTTCAGTCAACAACAGGCTATTAGTAAAGTTCTGAGGGAATCAAAAGTTACATGTGGATTTCTGACTGAGTGGGGCTTAGTGTCCCTAATCCCCATGTTATATGGTCAACCACATAACCCAAAAAAGGGAAAAAGGAGGAGTCAAGAAAAATAAATCCATCTCCAAAAGGCAGGAAAGGAAAAAAAGATGGCAGAAATAAATTCAATTCTATTGAATAATCACAATGAATATGAAAGGACTAAATTCACTGGTTAAAAGACAGACATACACTGGATAAAGTTCTGATATACGCTAAATATATTATAAAGCTATAGTAATTAAGATGGTGTGAGAAATGGCACAGAGATGGACAAAGTAACCAGTGAAGTAGAACAGAGAACCCAGGACCAACTCAGGAACATATGGAATTCTGAAATATGACAGAAATGACACTACAGGTCACTGAGAAGAGAACAGCTTATCAATAAATTAAGCCACGACAACTGGTTATTCATAACAGAAAAAATCCAACTTAGAATAAATGTACTTATATGTGAAAGGCAAAATTTAAAACTTTTAGACTAAAATAGGGAAGGATTTCTTAAAAAGACACACCAAGAGCTAACCAGAAAAGGCTGCTAAATTCAACTAACTCAAAATCAAATCCAGTGTCATCAAAAGATGCCAAGTAAAAATGATAAGCATAATGTTTGAAAAGACATTTGTAATACATATAACTGAATGAAAAGGAATTGAAACGCAGAAGAGATAAAGAAGACATTTAAATCAGTAAGAAAAGACCAACAGGGCCAGGAACAGTGCCTTCTGCCTATGACCCCAGCACTTTAGGAGGCTGAAGTGGGAGGACTGCTTGAGCCCAGTAGTTTGAGGTTACACCAAACTATGATTACGCCACTGCACTCCAGCCTGGGTGACAAAGAGGAACTCTGTCCCAAAACAAACAAACAAAAATACAAGACTAATAAGGTATACACAATGATTTATTTTAAACCTGTGAGGTTGGCAAAGATTAAGAAATTTATAAATCCAATGTCAAAGGGTCCATCCAAAAAACCCTTATATACTGCTAGTGGTATAAATCAGTAAAGCCATTTCTGGAAAACAACATTATTTTGTAAAATTAAGCAAATTCTGCAACACAAATATAACCTTATACCTTTCATCCAGAAGACATGACAAGACCTGGAAAAAAAACCCAAATGTTCATCTATAGGAGAATGGATTCACTGTGGTCTATTACCGTAGTAGATTCTGTACATCAGTGAAAATGAATGAACTATGGCTATAAACAACATGGATAAACAAAAGCAAACCCAAATAAAAAAGCAAATCCCAGAATATCATACCATTTTAAAGCTCAAAATATGACATATATATGATGAAACTGTTTTTTAAAAAAGCAGAGAAAGTAAAAATCTTTGTCACTGGTCACTGGTTACAGGGAGTGGGGAGGACAGAAGGTTGAGATAAGAAGGGAGCACCTAAGTGGATGCCAATTATTGATAATGGCAGAATTCTTGGATTGGTTACAGGGAGGTAATATGAATACTCCTTGATATTAATATGCTTTATATATTAACTTCATAACTTAAGCTAGTGTGTTTACATACATACATGTATTTTTCCATTCTGTGGTATACATAAAATATCATATTTAGAAAGGAAAAATGAGGGGCCAGGCGTGGGGGCTCACACCTATAATCCCAGCTACTCAGGAGGCTGAGGCTGAGGCTGAGAATCACTTGAATCCGGGAGGCAGAGGTTGCAGTGAGCTGAGGTTGCGCCACTGCACTCCAGCCTGGCCAGTAAGACTGAAACTCTGTCTCAAAAAAAAAAAAAGAAAAAATGAGGGAAAAGATTACTAAAATACGCTAGTCGATATTCACTAGCATATGGGAACAAAACCCTCAGTTAACACTTACTGGTCAAGAGTCTTATAATAAATATCCAGATCCTTGTTCACAAGTTCTGTTGTCCTCATAACAATCATCATTTCTCTGTACTTTTCCTCAGCATCCCGAAATTGCGGTTCTCGAAGTTCTTTCTTAAAATGAATAATTTCTTCCTCATAACCTTTCTGTCGCCCTAATGCCAAGTTGTGATTTCTTTTTATATTTTCTATGTTCTCTTCCAACTTCTGATGTTCACTGGAAAAAAGAAAAATGACAAACGAGGACCATTTTTTAGCTTTTGACAACCTGAAGTGGAAAAGTCATAGATATCTTTAGATAGGTAAATACCATTCTCCTTGGCAATCAGTATAACAGAGTCTCTCCTTGCTTTTTATTTAAGGCTTCAGTACTAATAAAACACCTCTCTTCCTTCTCTGCCCCACATAGGTTGCTAAACAGCTAATTTTGTGTGTTGAATAGTGAACCCTTATAGCATGTGATCACTGATAAAGTTCCCGGCCTTTAGACACTAAGTAAAGCACTCTGGTGTTTAATATTACACATTCACAAACTTCTGACTGTGAACTGAGAATGCAGTTATCAACACTAAGAAGTTACAAGTAACAGGCTTCATCATTTTGCTTATAATATGTCAAAGACACAACAGAATTTTATCTGAATGAAATCATATATTAATTCTCTGCAGTAATACTTAATAAAAATTTGGATTCCTCCATGAAAACAAAATTTCTCTTGCACGAGTATAAAAACCATAATAATGATGAGAAGTAAAATATCCAAACTTTTCTGATAATTTAGATTTTACAAATTTCAATGAATGCTTTAAAAATCTTCATTTATTTAACAATCACTTATTAAGCATCTTCTTTTTTTTTTTGAGCCGGAGTTTCACTCTTGTTACCCAGGCTGGAGTGCAATGGCGTGATCTCGGCTCATCGCAACCTCTGCCTCCTGGGTTCAGGATAATCCTCCTGCCTCAGCCTCCTGAGTAGCTGGGATTACAGGCACGCGCCACCGTACCCAGCTAATTTTTTGTATTTTTAGTAGAGACGGGGTTTCACCATGTTGACGAGGATGGTCTCGATCTCTTGACCTTGTGATCCACCTGCCTTGGCCTCCCAAAGTGCTGGGATTATAGGCGTGAGCCACCGCGCCCGGCCAAGCATCTTCTTATGTGCCAGGCACTGTTCTCAAATATATGGGCATCTTACAGAGTTGACCGGATTAGAAGTTTTGTTGACATTTGTGTTGTGTCCTGGCTGAAGAAAGGTTTGAATAATAGTTGTACTTAGTAATGTGAATGAATGTAAAAAGTATTGTTATGTACCAATCACAGAAGAAATTTTTTAAATATCTGGTTTTGGTCTTTAGTAGCCAAGTATAAATTATTTCATTTCAAAGTTTCTTCTAAAAGCATTACTTTTCCAACTTGCCATCGAAAGTACTAACATTGTAGTGTAAAAGAACTGAGGCTTGGGAACTAGGATATTAAGGTCACATTCCTGGCTTTCATCATAATTTCCTCTGTAATTTTTCTGGGTCTCAGTGTCCTCAGGCATAAACAATGAAGGCTTTGAAGATGTCAACCTCTTCTATTTACAAAATCTGATCTCCCTGATACAAGAAAGAGATTTTAAATAGCTAAACTTAGAGTACTTAACGATAACACAGGATTAACCATTTGTTAGGCTTTATAAATTAAGTTAAACTTCACTTTACTATACCCTTTAGAAAAACTTAAGCATTCGTTCATTCAGATTTCTGTATATATTCAAGATGACAAATAAAAACTCTACAAGGAAGGGTTTAAGAAATGAGCGGCCTAGATTTAACCAGTTGAGGTGGTTCACAATCTAAATATTTGCCTAGTACAACCTTTTACACCAGTCTAGTGCCTTAGCATCAACCAGGTTCTTACAGAATTCCTAAGACAACTCTAAGGCAGTCAAGGCAGGAATAAAATCTTTTCTGCTGTACCAGGAAGGCAGCAACTACAATAAGGAACAATAAAACCAGATAAAGGAAGAATGAGGCTCATCTTTCAAAAGAAATGCTCTGGTGAATGCATAATTACAAATGAGAAAATCTAGAATGAATCTTTGTTGACAAATCACTGTGGCAACAACTCCATTGACAATATTTATAGATAGTGCGAGCTCTGACCCATGCAAGGTCCATAGGCGCATATTCTCTATGCTTAGTACCACTATTCTATGCAGCAGGCTAGCAGATGTATGGTGACTAAGCATGTTCAATACTAAGTACCTAAGGTCCATCACTATACCATGATCAACAATTCTGTAATACTTCTTCAGTAATTCAGTCCTTAAGGCCATGAAATATAATTGTATCAAAATACCGTTCACCTTCTAGTAACTCTCAGAGGATACTAGGCTGAGGCTAAAATTCTTTTAAAACAGCTATTTAATATCCTTCACATTCCAATAATAAAGACCTTTCTTCAAACCAAAGATTATTTTAAAAGCATACTTTTTCATTTGCAAAACCTGCATTTGACCCATTTCCTTCAAATGTTGTTTTCTTTCTTCTTCGACTTCTTTTAGTTCCTCATTTCTTTTTCTTAAAGTAAGGTTATCCTGTAGCCACCTTTCTTGTATCTAAAGGTAAACATTAAATTAGTTAACAAAAATAACAGGCAACTGCTGACCGGAAGTGCTATTTCGGTCTTACTTAGAATCATGTGAAATTCAACAGAAGGAGAATAAGCCAGTGTGAAGGAATCTCCAGGTATGGGGCAATCTGGATGGCCCATCCCCATCCACAGTCACGAGTGTTATACCTCTTGTAGCACAGCTTTTACTGCTCTTTCATGACCATAATCTAAAAACCAGGTCTACTGTTTGATGGGGAGTCTCATAATGACTTGAGCATATATCTGTGTACTTATTTACTTACAAAGTATTAAAATATTTAGTCAAAATGCTAGGAAATTGTGTTCACTTAAAAACATAAAAAACAGAAATTTTAAATGGTAAAATTAAAAATATAACTAGATATTTTAATAGCTACATCCCTAGTGGATCATTTTGCATAGGAACACCAGTGATAAAGCCTACCGACCTACAAGATCATAAGAGATCAATACTACCATTGAAGTCTTCCCCAACTTTTTCTTCCCAGTTCTAACAAGTACCAAGACTATTAGAACCTGTTAGTCATATGTCACATACAACTTCTACCTTTAGGTTGACAAATAATAATCACACAAGGCAGTAAGAAGTGCCACAACAGTAGTATGTGTCTATGAACTTCATACTTTCTTAGCCACTGAAATGAAATTTCAAATAATTGTCTGTTCTTGTTGAGCAGTTCTGTCCTTCAAATGAGACTCAATCACACTCAGCAGCAGCGGCAACAACAAAATTATTTTCCTGGTGATTAAAATGAACTATGTTGTCAAGAGACAATTATTAGAAAACAATTTGTAAGTTGATTCTTTGGAATGTAGGAAAAAAAAATTCCTGCTGAAAGAATGGTGGTTTGGCCCACAAATCCTGTGTATAGAAAACTTATCCCAAGTTTGGAGTCAGGATTTCTCAAAAAGGGAGCTGGGACCCTCCTGCAATAGCCCTTGCAGCTAAGCTAAACTCAGTGTTGTGGGAAGTGGGAGAGATGGACAGATCTGTCACATTGTCTTGCCCCAACAGTAAAGGCCAGGGACTGGTAGATGGGAGAGGGAAGTCAAGGATTTCTCTCACATGCTTAATGTTCATATCCAATCCTGCCCAGGTATGCGTGACCATTTTTAGAGTTATCTTTTTCTTTTTTAACAGTCAGAAAGTAAGGCTACCTTCATATTTCCTGGAAATAATATAAACATAGGGTTTATCCACAGGGTCCACATGTACAGATTCAACTAACCATGGATCAAAAATATTGGGGGAAAAACACAATAAAAAAATAATAGTATAATACAAAAATACAAATTTAAAATAATACAACTATTTATATAGCATTTATATATTAATATCATAAGCAATCTAGAGATTAAAGTATATCAGAGGATATGGATAGGTTATATGCAAATACTACACGTGCCATTTTATATAAAGGATTTGAGCATCCCAGATTTTGGTATCTGTTGTATCACGGGGTCCTGAAACCAATCCCCCAGAGACACTGAGACAACTGCATACATATCTACTAAAGGCATTATTATAGGCGGTTAAAAGTAACTAAAATAATATGGTTATAAATGTCCTTTGTTGCCAAGGCAATCTAATGTATCACTGTAGCTACTGTGACTTACCAAGGTTCTTTCATGGGGACTATGCTTGTTTTTCCTTATTAGATACAAGGGAATGTGCTACTACTTACTTTCATCTAATACTGTGTAACATTTGAGTTTGCTTTCACCATTGCAAGAAAGGACTCTTTAAAGTGCTATCACATTTTTAGATGAGATTGATTTTTGGCACAAATACTGTTGCTGGTCTGTCTACCTGCATTGTTACCAGAAAGCCAGGCATTTCTTTCTTTTAGGTCAGCTTCCATTATTCTTCCTTTAGTTTTGAAAGACTATAATTTCTACCACATCAAGAGTATAATGCTTTGAAGTCAGGTCATCTAGGCTCAAATCACAGTGTTACTACTTTTAAACTGGATAACTTTGAGCAAATAAAATTCTCTGAACCTCAGTTTGCTTATAACATGGGTGATTATACTACTACCTATCATAAGGAACTATTGTGTGGCCAGGCGCAATGGTTCACACCTATAATCCAGCACTTTGGGAGGCTGAGGCAGGCAGATTACTTGAAGTCAAGAGTTCAAGATCAGCCTGGCCAACACAGGGAAATCCTATCTCTACTAAAAATACAAAAATTAGCCAGGCATGGTGGTGCTCATCTGTAGCCCTAGATACTCAGTAGGTTGAGGCAGGAGAATCACTGGAACCCAGGAGGCAAACGTTGTGGTGAGTTGAGATTGTGCCACTGTACTCCAGCCTGGGTGACAAAGCAAGACTCCATCTCAAAAAGCAAACAAACAAAACAAAAAAACCCAAACTATTGTGAAGAATAAAGGAATTAGTGTATGTAATCAGTATAGTCCCTGGCTCAATAATTGCTAATAAAATGCCTTTTGGGTCAAATTTGTCCTTTATACTTTAAGCAATGAAAATTCCAATTATATCTACAACATATAAAATATTAGAGAAAGGAAGGGAAAAAGATGCAGTAATAGTATACCACAACTGTTTTTCCATTCTACTAGAAATTTGATAGTGTTCAAGTTCAACCTCTGTTACTACTTTTTGTGACTTTGGGCAAATCAGGTCACCTCCAGTTCCCTTCATATATCCTTCATCTGAAAAATGAGAAAGGCAGTTTATTAAGTTTCCAAATTATTTTATTCTGTGGACTAAATTTAGCAAGGCTTAAATCAGTATGTAAACAATGATTATTAGGCTCCTCAGCTCTTAAATATTAACCCCAATTATCCAACTCAAATGATAGTTAATACATGGAGCTGGTCACCTACGGAAACAAAAAGTAACTGCATTCTAGATACCTGTGAGAGAGTGGCATGCTGAACAGATTACAGTCTAGTGTCCAACGAAAGTCTAGCTGGGAATAACACCACTTCTAGAAGACTGCCTGAAAGCTATGCAGTCCATCCAGTGATGGCTCAGTTATTGACAGCTAAAAGAATATATCAGAACCTCTAAGGAATTTCAACAAAACACACATATCTCTACCCAAACCCCCAGGATTCTGATTTACTGGTGTGAACTGGAGACACAGACTTGTTTGTCTCTAAGACAGGGTCTTGTTCTGTTGCCCAGGCTGGAGTGCAGTGGCACAATCACGGCTCACTGCAGTATTGAACTCCCCAGCTTAAGCAATCCTCCCACCTGAGCTTCCCAAGTAGCTGGGACTACAGGTGCACACCGTCACATCTGGCTAATTTTTTGTAGAGATGGGGTTTCGCCTATTGCCCAGGATAGTTTGGAACTCCCAGGCTCAAGCAATCTGCCTGCCTTGGCCTCCCAAATTGCTGGGATTACAGGCATGAGCCACTGCACCCAGCCACATATGTATTTTTAATAACCTACGTGATTTTTAAAAATCGAGATGTAATTAACATGCCACAAAATTAACCATTTAAGCATGTACAATTCCGTGGTTTTAGTTTACTTCACCATTAAAACATGTACAATTCCGTGGTTTTAGTTTATTTACAAGTTTACACAACCATCACCACTATCCAATTCCAGAGCATCTGATTAACCCAAAGGAGATCTCATATTCATCAGCAGTCACTATATTCTTTCCTCACCTCTATCCCCTGGAAACATTAATCTGCTGTCTGTCACTGGATTTACCTATTCTGTACATTTATTATAAGTGGAATCATAAATTATGTGGTTTTTGGGACTGGCTTCTTTTGCTTAGCATGTTTTAAGGGTTCATTCATGTTGCAGCATGTATCCTCCTTTTTATGGCTGAATAATATTCCATTATATGGGTATACCACATTTTGTTGATCTGCTCATTAGCTGATGACTATTGGGTATGTCCATATTTTGGCTATTATAAATAATACTGCTATGAGAATTCTTCTACAAGCTGTTGTGGGAACACATGTTTTCAATTTTCTTAGTTCTATACCCAGAGAGAAAAAACTCAGATGATTTACAAGTGCCCCTAGCTAAGAACCTTTGCTTTCTAAACATTCTAACATGTACTTCAGGTTTCAATCATATCAACCTCTATAGAACCTCATATCAAGGGATATTGATGTTGAGATACACTCTATTTTTTTTTTTTTTAAGCCCTAAGAAGTCTGTTGAAGACTATACAAGTCTTCCTTTCTATGAATAGAGAGATTTTCCTCTGGTCTCAGTAAAAGGAACTGGTTTTCTTTTAGCATTGACACAAGTGAATGTTGACTAATTGTGACTTCAACTCTTCATTTTTTTTATTTTTATTTTTTGAGATGCAGGTTCACTCTTATCACCCATGCTGGATTGCAATGGCATGATCTCAGCTCACTGCAACCTCCGCCTCCGAGATTCAAGTGATTCTCCTGCCTCAGCCTCCTGAGTAGTTGGGATTACAGGCGCGTGTCACCATGCCTAGCTAACTTTCATATTTTTAGTAGAGGCAGGGTTTTACCATGTTGGGCAGGCTGGTCTCAAACTCCTGACCTCAGGTAATCTGTCTGCCTGGGCTTCCCGTAGTGCTGGGATTATAAATGTGAGCCACTGTGCCAGGCCTTCTCTCTTCATTTGATTACTAGAAAGCACATGAGACCTCATGTATACTTTTTATATACTTCTCTCCTGCCTTCATTATTTTCTTGCCCTTATTTCTACACTGTCTTGTTTTCCCATTAATTTGAAACATATTTAACATGCTCTACTGTATATAACTAAGTAAATAATTTCTGGAACAAGGAAGGTTACAAAGTAAACGAATACCATCAGATCCACTAAGTTTAGACCATCACCTTAAAAGGGGTCATAGATTGGTAAATCTTAACAATTTCGTGTATGTATACAGAGAGCTACTACGAATTTATAGATTGTGATTTTATACAGGCAACCACATAAAAGCTAGTGATAATTATTTTGTTATATATGTATCATAAATTTATACAGTTATTCAGCTTGTATTAGGACAGGCAGAGATTTGATTTTCCTTTGATTTCATGTATTTGAAATTCTTGGTGCTACAGAAATAGACTCAGCAGAATACTAATATAACTAATCTTTCAAATGATTTTTAGCAATCACTTATAATGAGGTGGTTGATAAAGCATTCAAATAGTAAATTTTGTTTAAGAGTAAGAACAGAGAAATAGTATAGTTTTTAAAGGCATTAACTACCATGCTTGCATAAAGCATGTGATCATAGCTTCTTGATATAATTTTGACTATACTGTAGAAATTTCTTTAAGAGAAAATAAATGATACTGGAATGAACCAGAAAATGACTTAATATATAAACATTTCCTTACAGATAACTTTCAAGATTAAACCATAATCCCTCTTTATGAATTTATGCTACATAAAGATATGTCAGAATAAGAAAAGATACAGATATATGTTAAAGATACTCACTGTCACATAGTTTGTGACATGGAAATAAAATCAACCTGAGTAAGTTCTGGTATATACACAAAATGGACTATTCTATAATCATTAAAAAGAATGTGATATATCTGTGAGTTGATCTGTAAAATCAAATTATGTTATGTGAAAAAAGGTACAGAATATATATGACCCCACCCATAAAAGTAAATTTAAATACATATGTGTATGTATATATATGTATATAAATTTAAGTGTGTGTATATATACACACGTATATATACATATACATATATATACACACACACACTTAAATTTATCTACTTATGTATCTGCTCAGATATGAATAAAGAACTTTAAGAACAAATAAGTGTAGCAGTTAATGACATGCAGGAGTGAGACTGAGAATCAGGAGAAGGGGAGAGACACTTTTAGTTTTTGCCTTTATGTTTGAACTTTTATCAGGAGTCTTTTACTGAAAATAAAAGTGAAAAATAAAGAAATGATTAACTGGGTGTGATGGTGGCGTGCGCCTGTAGTCCCAGCTACTCGGGAGGCTGACACAGGAGAATCTTTTGAACCTGAGAGGCAGAGGCTGCAGTGAGCCAAGATCACACCACTGCATTCTAGCCTGGCAACAGAGTAAGACTCTATCTCTGAACGAATAAATGAATGAAATAAAAGAAATTAACAAATGAAATGAATGAATAAAAGAAAAATAAATAAATTAAGAATGTAATTGGAATTATTTTTCTTTACTTTTTGCATTTTTTTTTTTTTTTGAGACAAAGTCTCACTCTGTCGCCCAGGCTGGAGTACAGTGCTGCAATCATGGCTCACTGTAACCTCTGCCTCCCAGGTTCAAGTGATTCTTATGCCTCAGCCTCCCAAGTAGCTGGGACTACAGGTAGGTGTGCGCTGGCCAGCTAATTTTTGTACTTTTAGTAGAGACAGGTTTCACTGTGTTGGCCAGGTTGGTCTCACACTCCTGGCCTCAACAGATCCACCCACCTTGGCCTCCCAAAGTGCTGGGATTATAGGTATGAACCACCACACTTGGCTTCTTTACTTTATGCATTTCTATTCAATGGTTCTTCTATTGAAAATAAAACTATAGAAAAGAATGTCATAAATGTCATAGGTGTAAGTGATACCATAAGCAAAACAGACCTACCTTCTGTGTATCAATATCTTGTCTCATGATTCGCATATCTTCATTTATCTTTTCTTTGTGTTTCTCGCATTCACTTAGCTGAGCTATTACTTTATTAAGTTCAGTTTCTTTTTGCTACAAAAAAGAAAATTCTTTAAGCACATGAAATAAAAATATAATCAAATAAATATTTTTAAGTTTTAAATTACCTTCTTATAGTCGTCTTTCCCATCTTGAATATAATTTTCAATGTCTTTCATATAACCATGAATATTTTTAACCTTCTCTTTAATATCATTCAGCTGTAGAAAAATATTTATTAAATTTACACTGGTTGTACTTAAGGGCACATAACAGAAGAGCTTAGTAAAACACTGGCTTTGAAGTTATGAACCTTGAATCCAGTTTCCACCACTACCGAATTTTGTGATCTCAGACAAGTCCCTTTATCACCTATAGGAATGAATGAATTAGTCTCAAATCTTAACATCTATTTTAGATCAAGCAGCAAAATAATTTACGTCTAATCCTTGTTCTAACAAGAATTTTGAATGTAAAAATTATACCATGAATCTGAAAATACTATTTATCTTATGCTATTTAATTTCAGGTGAAATAATAGTGTCCGACATGGTGCTACAACCATAACTTTAATATAGATATTTGATAAATACATAAATGAAATCTTACTTTATCCTGTGCTATTTTGTTGCTTGTATTTTTTTTGTTGATTAATTCTTCTTTTTCTTGCTGGAACTTTTCCAATGTTGTTTCCAAAGGGCTTACCTGCTCTTTAGCATCCTAAAAATATAAAAAAGATGAAGGCTTATATAATATTCCATTATCTTATTTTAGGTGTCAGACTTCACAGTCTTAATAAAAGCACTTTCTATGTGCCGGGCTGTAAAAGTCAACTCATTTGCTCCTTTCAATGACCCTATGAGGAAAGAACCATTATTTTCAGCCCTATATTTTCAACAAGCAAACAGACACAGAGAATGACTTGTCCAGGGTCACAACAGCCCATAAATAAAACAGTCAAGATATTAACCCAGTCCAGCTCCAGAGTTCACTCTCTTAACCACTACGCATGCTATCCTGCCTCAATCACTAATGTGAGTCTTAATCTAGGCCATGTGCTCCCAAATATATTAGTGTGTGGCTTTAAGCATGAATTTTCATGATTTTATAGCTCATGACACTTCTGCATGATCAAACAGGAAAGCTCATTCAGTCCAGACTTCTCTTTTATAAATAAAAATATGATGGTAAAAACACTTCTGTCTAACTTAGGCTTAGCCTGATAAGGATATGCAGATATTTTATGGTTATAAAAGCATACTGTTACACTAATATTGGTACCTCCTCATCTATTCTGGAAGGAAGGGGGCTTTCAAGTAATCAACTATTTTACCAAACAGAGGTCCCCATTATTTAGCCTTGTAACACTATACAACATAGTTATATGATAACCATGGTTCAAAACAACAATCCTCAAGCACTTTAAGATTCTGAAGTATTGAGTGAATCGACAGAGGTAGATACAATTATTATTACTTCAATATAGGTCTGTTTTATCATACTGGGAAGTGGTATGGTGTGTTAGGAAGTCAAATGCCTTCACTGTCAGAAGATCTATCAGAAAATCCACTCCGCTTCCTATTACCTGCATGAACTTAGGCACTCATTGGACATTTATAAATCTCAATTTCTTTTTCTATAAAGAGATTTTGTCATCTATCTTAATAGGGTTGCTGAGGCACTGGATGGTTTAATGTCCAAGCACTTTATAAACAGTAAAAAATTATAAAAATCCAAGCAGTACTATTTTATATCATATTCTGAGCCTCTGGTATGTTGTAATCCAGAATAATTTAAGAAATAAAAATGTATAGTAATGATTCCATAATATACTTAGTGCTTATTGAATGAGTATGCATAATTATGTAAACCTAGGTAAGATTGTTTCTAAAACTGTTTATAACTGGTTGAGTCTTAGAGGGAAGTCAAATGCATTCCAGGGGCAACTGAGTGCCTGTTCACTGTAGTGATAAGGATTCTGAGACCACATCTGGAATCAAATCGAAAGAGTGGTATCACTGAGAGTGTCTGCCATAGATAAAGGATCTGTAGACAAGACAAACCAGCAGGAATCGTTAACCAACCACCACCTGACCACCTCTAATACATTCTCTACTTAACCAGGCAGCCAGTTCTACCTTATGGCAAACTCCTTCTTCCAGAAATCTTTACTTATTACTACAAGTTCCATTACTTAGGAACCACACAAACAATTATGCCATTTTCATTTGAACCTCACAATAGCTATAGTTCTGGTCATTACACTAATAAAGAAGAGCATTTCATATACTTTAATTTTAAAAACAAACATAGGCTGCATGAGGTGATGTATGCCTGTAATTTTGGGAGGCCAAGGCTGTAATGCTTGAGGCCAAGAGTTCTAGACCAGCCTGAACAACTTAGTGAGACCCTGTCTCTACAAATAATTTTAAAATTAGCCTGGCACGGAGGACTGTGCCTGTAGTCCCATCTACTTGAGAGGCTGACGCAGGAGGATTGACTGAGGCCAGGAGGGCGAGGCTGCAGTAAGCTGTGACTGCGCCACAGCACTCCAGCTTGTGAGACAGAGCAAGCCTCTATCTCTAAAAAATAAGAATAAGGCCAGGCGTGTTGGCTCATATCTGTAATCCCAGCACTTTCCCAGGCCAAGGTAGGCAGATCATCTGAGGTCAGGAGTTCAAGACCAGCCTGGCCAATGGCAAAATCCCATCTTTACTTAAAGGACAAAAATTAGGTAGGCATGGTGGCGCACGCCTGTAATCCCAGCTACTCGGGAGGCTGAGGCAGGAGAACTGCTTGAACCCAGGAGATAGAGGTTGCAATGAGCTAAGATTGTGCTACTGCACTCCAGCCTGGGCGACAAGTGAGACTCTGTCTCAAAAAATAAAAATAACATAAAAATTTTAAAAAATAATAAATTAATTTTACAAAAAAAACCATGTATGGATATTCTTACCTTTATCTCTCTGTATAAAGACTGAACTTCAGTGGATAATTCCACAGTCTGCTCCTCCAGTTGCTGACGACGTTGCAGATTAGTGGATATCTGAAGTTTCTCAGATTTTAGCTCATTTGTTGTACTTTTTAGATGCTGAATCTGTTCCTGCTGGTCCTGTATAAGCTTACGATTCAATTCAATCTTACTAGAAACTACACAAAAACATATTAACACAATAATTAATGTAAGGTTATAGAAAATACTATTTGTATCATCCTTCTCATTTTTATCAGTCTATGGAATCCACAAATACTGAGTTTATGTGGGTCCCACTCACTGCAACAAAAATATAACAAGAACCCTGCTAGCTCCCAAATCTGCTTGATGTCCCCTTCTGGCCACTCACAGGGAAAGCTCACAGAGCAGGTATGATTGAGAAAGAATACAGCTCATGACCAGGCACTGGTTCATGCTTGTAATTCCAGCACTTTGGGAAGCTGAGGCAGGTGGATCATCTGAAGTCAGGAGTTTGAGATCAGCCTGACCAACACGGTGAAACCTCGTCTCTACTAAAAAAATACAAAAATTAGCTAGGTGTGGTGGTATGTGCCTGTAATCCCAGCTATTCAGGAGGCTGAGGCAGGAGAATCGCTTGAATCCAGGAGGCAGAGGTTGCAGTGAGCCGAGATCGCACCACAGCACTCCTGCCTGGGCAACAAGAGTGAAACTCCATCTTAAAATAAATAAAAAAAAAGACGATGACGACGACAGCTCATTTGATACTCTCCTACTAATCAAAGTCTGTTGTGCAAAGAGAACAAAGAGAAGTGATGCTTTTCATAAAAAAAGAGTGAATATACATTGCTCTGGAAAGAACTTCCTTGCCCATGTAACAGTTATACAATTTACTGTACAAAGCCTGCTAGCAATGTCAAAGTCTTTATGGGTACATAAGGACACATGCTATATTACCTGTATCTAACTTGTGTTGTTTTTCTTGTTTTTCCTGGTTTACTTGTTGAACAGTTCGATCTAAGTCTATTCCTTGTAGCTTAGCTGCTTGTTGTGCAATTTTTCTTTCAACATCTTTAAGTTCCATCTTAAGAATATAAGAAAATTATTTCCTTTAATAAACCTATTGATTATTCAAACTCTTTAAAAAATAATTGCTATGGCCAGGTGCAGTGGCTTAGCACTTTAGGAAGGCAAGGTGAGTGGATCACAAGGTCAGGAGATCGAGACCATCCTGGCTGGCCAACATGGTAAACCCCATCTCTACTAAAAATACAAAACTTGGCTGGGAATGGAAGCACGTGCCTGTAATCCCAGACACTCAGGAGGCCTGAGGCAGGAGAATCACTTGAAGCCAGGAGGTGGAGGTTGCAGTAAGCCGAGATTGCACCCCTGCACTTCAGCCTGGTGACAGAGCTAGACTCTGTTTAAAAAAATAAACAAATAAAAATTAACTGCTATTGGATGGGTGCGGTGGCTCAGGCCTGTAATCCTAGCATTTTGGGAGGCCAAGGCAGGTGGATCACGAGGTCAGGAGTTCAAGACCAGCCTGAACAACATGGTGAAACACCATCTCTACTAAAAATACGAAAAAAAAAAAAAAATTAGCTGGGTGTGGTGGGCACCTGTAATCCCAGCTACTCAGGAGGCTGAGGCAGGAGAATCGGTTGAAACCAGAAGGTGGAGGTCGCAGTAAGCCAAGATTGCACCACTGTACTCCAGCTTGGGAACAGAGACTCTGTCTCAAAAAAAAAAAAAAGTGAATTGCTATTATCATTTATTTTTTAAATCATAAGCCATTTCCAGATACAATTTTAGCAAAGTTTAATAGGATAAAAGTGAAATTAATTCTTAGCAGTTCAAATGAGGTAAACAAAAGGAAGGTGACTAAAAATGAAAAACAAATAGAACTGTCTCAATTTTTATATTTATGAATTTAAAAATTTAAACCCAGGGATGTAAACTAAGCACTTGCTCCCTGAGGGTATCTGAAATTCAGGATGGGGAATTCTAAACATAACCTGTATCTGAATACTAGCTATTATTTTTAACTCTCACACTTCAAATTCAAGCTACCATGGAACAATTTTATTCTGCCTTAAACTACAATAAACTTACCTGGAACCTCTCCATAATTGTAACATCTGTCAGGCACATTTTAGCACTTTCTTCTTCAGGCATTATTGTACCCAAGAGTGTTTCTTGTTCTTCTATGTCGTTCTTTAGGCGCTGTATGTCTCTATTGACATTCTGCAGTTTGTTTCTTAATTCTGGTATTTCCTTCTCCTTCAAATCAATTATGCTTTGCCTTAATAGAAAACACAATTAAAAATAAAGTATCTGATGTTTGTCACAGTTAGACTGAGGTTATGTATTTTTAGGAAGAATATCACAGAAGTGACTTTGTGTTCTTTTCAGGGCATCATATCAGTGGGTACAGAACTATACTATCAATGTCTTATTACCGGTGATATTAATCCATATTCATTTGGTTTAGGTGGTGTCGGCCAGGTTTCTCTGCTGTAGTTACTTTGCTCTTTGCTCTTTGTAATTAATAAGTATCTGAAGGGAGAAATGTTAAGACTATGTAAATATCTTGCTTCTCCTCAACTTTCTACCTACTGATTTTAGTATTTACTGATAGATCTTGCTTGCAATAATTATTACTGTGGTATTTGTCAAACTAAGAACTATTCTACTAATTAATGTGGTATTTGTCAAACTAAGAACTATTCTACTAATTAACTGGTCATATTCACCGTAAGTGTTAAGGTCATGAAAGATAAAGATAGATTGTTACAGACAGCAGGAGCCTAAGGAGAAATTACAACTAGATGCTATGTGGGATCCTGCATGGAATCCTGAAACAGAAAAGGCATTGGTGGAAAAACTGCTGAAATTCGATAGGGTCTGTAATTTAGGAAGTAGCATTATACCGATGTTAATCCTGATTTTGATAACTGTATTATAATACAGCACATAAATTGTTAACGTCAGGAAAAGCCAGGTGAGGGATATATGTGAATAATCTTTAGTATTTTTATAATTTTTCCATAAGCCTAAAATTGTTTCAAAATAAATTTTTTTTAATTACAGGGAAAAAGGAAAGACACCAGACACACTAAGTCAAATACTACATAAATTTAAGGAACAAAGTGTCAACCCATTTTTACTAGTACTCACTACTCTAGCTAATGAATGCCTCCATGGCAGGTACTAACAATGATTTTTGCTGACGCCTCTGAAGCAATAAAATGTATTTAATCTTTAAAAAAAAATTTACTTCAGAAATATTCCAAGTTCTTATTTAAAATTATATTGAATTAATATGGCAAGTTAAAGTGGTATAATAAATTAAACTGGTCTCTAATGGGAGTCTTATAATAAACTAAAAGAATAACCAGAAACTTGAGGGTTAGCTCTTAAATACTATTACTTAATAATTTTTTAAATGCAAACTATTACCAAGAAATGCCAACCTGAACCGACCTGTGGCAACAGACCTATAGTTTTTTATACCACAGAAATAAGAGGTATTCTTCTTTCATATATGAGTATAATAAATATGAAGGATGCAGATTATGAGTAATTCCATGCCAATGTTACCTCTTAAACACTGTAGTCACAAATCAGTAATGTGCCCAATATCTAAAAAGTGACACTGCTATGACAGCCTAATGATGGCCAAGCATTTATTAAACTGGGGACATCTCTGTGAAGAACTATAGGTATATACACAATTTTAACTCTATTTTTACATTTTCATACACACAAAATCTTTCATCAGTATGGTCCAGGTTTTGGTGCCTTCTTTTTTGATGATTACATAAGATGTTAAAAGATGTGTTCTGGCCAGGTGCGGTGGCTCACACCTGTAATCCCAGCACTTTGGGAGGCTGAGGCTGGTGATGACCTCAGGTCAGGAGTTCAAGACCAGCCTGGCCAACGTGGAGAAACCCTGTCTATACTAAAAATACAAAAAAAATGAGCTGGGCATGGTGAAGGGCACCTGTAATCTCAGCTATATGGGAGGCTGAGGCAAAAGAATCGCTTGAACCAGGGAGGCGGAGGTTGCAGCCAGCTGAGATTGCGCCATTGAACTCCAGCCTGAGTAACAAGAGTGAAACTCTGTCTCAGAAAGAAGTGTTCTAAGAAAAAGCAGAGAAACTTCCCTAGAGAATGGGCTAGTGAGACTTATTAGGGTGCTCTGGGTTGTTTGTTTGTTTGTTTGTGACATTTTATTTTTGATTTTCAAGAGAATTTTTCTTATGGTTCGCAAGGTTTTTAAAAATTATTTTCAATAGATAAATCATAATTGTTTACATTTATGGGGTATAATGTGATGTTTTGATATATGTACACAATGTACAATGATTAAATCAAGGTGACTTAACATATCCATTACCTTGCTTACCTATCATTTTTTTATAAACAGACATTTAAAATTTACTCTTCGGAATTTTTTTCTTCAGAAACTCAGTTCACCTATTTTTGGACAGCATACCTTTTCTAAGGAGATTGTGCATAAAAAGACCCACAGAGATATGATACTGTAAAAACCTCTGGGAGAAATGGGTGGGGGGAATACTAATTGAGTTATTTAAATGAGGTGCTATATTAAATGAATCTGAGTCTGTATTAGACAAAATGATAAACAGGAACATTTTCAGCTGAGATCTCATTCATGATGTTAGTTTCATATTAGGTATTAGTGAATTTGAGGCTTTAAATGAAAATATTTTTCCCAAAGAAGATAAGCAAGAAACGGCTCCCTACTACCTCTCTGAGCTCATCTTCCACAACTTTTCCCTTGGGCCTTCAGGTCAAATATGTCTCAGAGATTTTGTACTGCCTGGAATACTCTTCTTCTGGACAACTGCATGACTGGCGCCCTCACTTCTCTCAAGTTTCTACTCCAATGCCACCTTCATCAAGTCCCCTCCTACCACCCTTCAGCTAGTCCCTATTCCCTTAATTTGTATTTTTCTCCATGCCCCTGATCATTCCCTGGTGTACATTTACTTATTTGTTATCCATCTCCTCCCTACTGGGATATAAACTCCATGAGGGCAGGGACTTTGTCTGTTTTGTTTACTGCTGTACTACCTGCACTCCAGTAGACTGCCTATGTTGGCTGCATGAACAGACAGTTCTCAATAGTGCTGGCCATCAAGGGCATATTCCAAAGGTAAAAAGGCAAATGGCACACAGATAAATTTAATCTTGTTACTTTACCACTCTTTACCAATACCAGTAACCTTCCACTTAAGTGACTATCATAAATAGACCTCCACAATGTCTCTGAAAGTAACCCCAGGGTATATCTGAGAGTAGTGTCCTAACCAGAGGTGGAAGGAAGCTTAATGATCATGTAAGTCAATTCCCTCACTTCATGTGGGGGATACTAAGGCCCAGATGGGTTAAGTAACATCCCTAAGGTCACCCAGCAGAGCTGAAATTAGAAATCAACCTGACTGTACCCCTAGGCAATTGCTTCCCCATATTTAAAAAAAAGGTCCTCTTGGTTGGGCATGGTGGCTTATGCCTGTAATCCTAGCACTTTGGGAGGCTGAGGTAGGAGGATTGCTTGAGCCTAGGGGTTAGAGGCTTCAGTGAGCTATAATCAACCACACCACTATACTCCAGCCTGGGTGACAGAAGCAAGATCCTGTCTCTAAATAAATTAAGTCATCTTAATTCATTATTGACCTTTCATTTGTAGATTTTTTTAAACTTAAAACAAATGTGTTTTATAATGTTATTGCCTACTACTGAAAGAAGACTTCCTCTCTCATTTGTCCCAAAGTCATCCTTCTCCAGTTTTCCAGGATGGCCCACTGACATTCTGTTAGAGCTTGCTAAACAAACAGTGATTCATCATTTGCCTGCTCTTTTGGTTTTCAAGTTTTGGTTCCTTTATGAAAATGGTTTCCGCACACACCTGTCCTCACTTAGCAGCCCTGCCAGCATCTTGGTCCATTTTTTGTGCTTCCTCTAGGCCTTTTCTAGCTTCAGGTTCTCTTAAAATGTGTGGTAACCAGACATTTACTTGGCTAACCTAGCCAGGTACGTAACCTAGCTGGGCCCAGTCATCCCATGAAACCATGAAAAGTTAATCACTGTGAGACAGTTTTGAAGAGGTTTGTTACACAGCAATAAATAATAGGAATAGACATTATAGTTCTAATTCATTCAGCAAACAGTTATCAAAGTTAAAATATACAATATACAAATGTGTGGTTACCTAGTCTGTAGGTAATCAGAATGACACACAGATGCTACTGCAGATACAGGGTTATGCAGATTCAAGTCAGCCGTAAGTACTTTGATACTCTTCCCATCAAGAGATAGAGTGTTCTCCCTCACTGAATCTTGGCAGTCTCTGTGACTACTCTGACCAACAGAAAATGAAATGTCACTGTGCCAGTTTCTGGGCCTTAAAGGACTTGCAGCTTCTACTTCCTGTTCTGGGAATACTTACTCTGTTTAGTAACCCAGTCACTATGCTGCCAAAAGCCCAAGACACATGCAAAGACGTCCTGTTTGACATCCCCAGCTGAGCTCCCAGATAACAGTCAGTCGGCATCACTGTCAGCCATGTGAGCCATCAAAAACATCCAGCCTGGTTATGCTTTGAGATTACTGCAGCCAACACTTGACTGCAATCATAAGACTCCAAGTCAGAGCCCACTAGCTGAGCCCAGTCATACCACAGAACCATGAAAAATTAATTATCATGAGACAGTTTTGAGGAGGTTTGTTATACAACAATAACTGGAACAGATGCTACAGTTCTCATTCATTCAGCAAATAGTTATCAAAGTTACAATATACAAGGAAATGTGGAGATACAACAATGAATAAGACGTCTCTTACTCTTAGAAGGTGAACTATGACAGCAAGGGTCTACTTAAAGTAATACAGTGTTAATTTCTGCCGCTTATTGTATAACAGTCTAACACAGAACTAAGCTCACATTTCCTCTACGTGTACTTTCTACCAATTTCAAATTTTATCCATTTGATCTTTTTCTTTTCAAGATAGTACCTTATTCTTCTCCTTCCTTTTTATTCTCAAACTACCTTTGTCTCCTCATCTCTGTGGCCCCAATAAATCTGGTTTTCATCCTTGATGCTTGTATTCCTTAACTACTGTTGCATAACCAAGTATCCCAAAAGTTAGCAGCTTAAAATAACAGCACTTATTATTTCTCAGAGAGATGAAGATCAGGAGATACACTTCTGACTCAGGGTCTCGCATGAAGTTGCAATCGAGCTGTCTGCCAGGACTGTAGTCATCTTAAGGCTTGACTGCTACAAAGTCTGCTTCCAAAATCACTTGCTCAAAGGCCTCAGGTTCTTGCCATATGGCTTCTCCAGAGTGCTGCTTGGAACATAGCAGTTAGCTTCCATCAGGTGGGAGACAGAGGGGTGAGACAGGGGAGGAGGAGGGGGAGAGTGAGCCAGCGCACACGAGGGAGAGTACATGCATATATGAGACGAGCACAGAAGAAGGCACAGTACCTTAAATAACCTAATGTTGGAAAGGCCATGCTATCTTTCTGCCCTGTTTTATCAGTTATACAGACCAATCCTGCAACAGCATGAGAGGGGACTATACAAGAGAATGAATACCAAGAGGCAGAGATTACTAGGGACCATCTTAGAAGTTAGCTGCCACAAACCCCATCTTCTTAGGCCTTTATTTCTCCTTTTCCTGAAACTCCTCCTTGGTTCTCCAGGACAATCACTTTCACTCTCCTAGTTTTTCTGCTTCCTGAGCTCTTCTCAGCCTATTTCAGACAATATATTAACTATTAGATTCACTTTCCTAAAATACATCTTTCATTGAATCCCTTAGGTTGGCTCCTCAATAGCTATCAGAAAGAGTTATAACTAGGACTGAACATAATACAGCCCTATTTACCCAATGTACAGGACTCAATCCCTATAGGTAATTCCCCAGCCTCCAAATAACCTTTCTACTGCAGCATAGGTCACACTCCTCTTCCCTTTGCACCATGTTCTGATTTCTGTCCCCTCTCAGCTGAGATGAACAACCTTTTCCAGGCCTTATATTCCTCTTCCTGCCTCATTTTCAAAATACTTAGCTCCTGTATCCATTGGCTTCTCCCGTCTTAACTAACACATTGGTTTAAATCATTTTTTAAGCTGTTTATTAAGCCTAGCTTTCTAAATGTTGAATTCTGAGAGCTTGTCTCCTTAATGGGACCATTAGCTCCTAGAGGGTCATGTCTTAGGTCTCTGGGACTAGCCTTGTTCTCTATGTTCTGGGAGACACTAAGGCAATCACCACATATTTCCTGATTTGATTTTTATTTGCAAATAGAACATAACATGAATTTCTTGTACAAGTGAGGGAAAATATAAACTGAAAATCACCTATGATTCATTCTCTCTGAAAGTGGAAAAGACATTAAAAATATAGTTTAGGCCGGGCACGGTGGCTCAAGCCTGTAATCCCAGCACTTTGGGAAACCGAGGTGGGTGGATCACAAGGTCAAGAGATCAAGACCATCCTGGTCAACATGGTGAAACGCTGTCTCTACTAAAAATACAAAAAATTAGCTGGGCATGGTGGCGCATGCCTGTAATCCCCGCTACTCAGGAAGCTGAGGCAGGAGAATTGCCTGAACCCAGGAGACAAAGGTAGCGGTAAGCCGAGATCGTGCCATTGCACTCCAGCCTGGGTAACAAGAGCAAAACTCCGTCTCCAAAAATATATATATATAGTTTAAAACCCATCTTTTAGGAGAACTTTTCAGTACTTAAATTATTTTGCTGGGTTCAGAAAGTGACATATCAACAAACAGTCCTAAATCTGTCAAAATCTATATCCACAAGCTAAGTCCTGGGAATTAAACAAACATACAAAAGAACATAAAAACGATTATCTACCTCATAGTTTAAGAAATAAGTTTACCGGCCATACACGGTGCTCATGACTGTGATCTCAGCACTTTGCGAGGCTGAAGTGAGCCAATCACTTGAGGCCAGGAGCTTGAGATCAGCCTGGCCAATGTGGTGAAACCCTGTCTCTACTAAAAATTACAACAATTAGCTGGACGTGGTGATGCATGCCTGTAATCCCAGCTACTCAGGAGGCTGAGGCATGGGAATCATTGAACCTGGGAGGTGGAGGTTGCAATGAGCCTAGATCATGCCACTGCACTCCAACCTGTGTGACAGACACTCAGTCTCATAAACAAAAAAAGAAAAGAAATAAGCTTACCTTTAAACAAAATAATTGACTTTTCTTATCATATAAATGACATAAGACAGGGCATAGCAGCTCAGAAGCTCAGAGTCCTTACTGAGTATCTACCATCTGCCCAGGCATGAGATGGGCATCTTTTACAGTGTGCTGCTACATGTTTGGTGAAGGTAAATCCCTATTCTTACCTCATGGGCACAAGTCCCAGCATTTCATCACGCCGCTTTTCCTTTTTCTTTAGCTCTGATTCTGTTGACTTAAGTTTATCTGGAGCAAGCCGCAGCTTAGACTGCAAATCACTGATGACTTCTTGTAATTCAGCCTCTGTCTGAAAAACTCTCTGACAAACGGGACAACATGACTGGTTTTCATCTGTTAGCTGAGTAATGAATTGGGAGTAAACTGCTGTGGCTCCAGCCAGCATGGCTATTTTAAGAAAATAAATTATATCACGAAGGAGAAAAACATAAAATACAGTATTGTCAATATGGTCTTTTTCTATAAACAGATAATTCTTGCTTTATACATATATTATAAAAGAAATAAAAATTCTGATACTTAAAATTCTGATACTCTCTTCTAAAGAGCACAATACATTCAGATTTGTATAAATATTTTTTGGTAACACATTTTAAGTATAATAAAATGTCTACTGAGAGTGTTCTATGTGCCAGGTACTGTTCTAAGGGCTTTACATCTATAATCTCATTCACTCCCCAATACCCCAAGGTGGTATCATCATTTTACAGATGAAACACAGGAAGGTTTCAATAATTTGCCTAAAGTCACACAATGCGTAAGTTGCAGAGCCAGGACTGAAATCTAAGCCAGTTAGCTCCATAACCAGGTTTTAAATTTCCCATCCTTAACAGTTACCTGTGAATGAAAATTCAAAGGTGTCAAAGTATCCTGATAATATAAAGTAGGTAACTTACCTCGCTGTTTCGATGATTTTTCAATTTCCTCTTTAAGCCTGTCTAAATCACTGTCAAAATCCTGGCTACCACAAACATCAAACAGCTTATCTTCGTAACTGGACAACTGCTCTTCCTTCCTTTTTAGTTCATTATTTATATGATTTTTATTCTGCTCAGCTGAGGCTAGTTCCTTGCTAAAATAAAAACAAATAACAATTTTCATTTTAAAACAGGAGAAATGTGTTTGAAAGTTTGAGTAGGCAGATACAAGACAAATTCTGCCAACAAACCATTCAAGAGTTTGGTATGACGAAATAATTTTTTTTGGAAGTTGAGGGACTAGTACACTTCTGCCTTAACTCTCCCCCTAGGAAACTGACTCACCTGCCAATCCTGCTCATGGGCTGCTCCTAGAAAAATGTACACAGAATTCTGCCTGGTTTCTGGGGGTTCTTTGATCCCAGGTTAAGCCTCAGCAATATGCCTGCTGGGACTACTGGACAGAAAGAAGACAGGAGAACATCCCCCTAATTCCCTTTAGTCCTTTCACAAATACTACTTCCTTACTCTCCAGTAAAAACTGTTTCTTTGTATCCTCTCCCTCCTTATTGTTGTCATCCACTTGCCACCTCATCAGTCATTCCCTCTCATTCATCAAAGATTTTGCTTAATAGTACAATTTATCTCCACTTTAATTTAACCCTTTCTTTTTTGAGATGGAATTTTGCTCTGTCACCCAGGCTGGAGAAAAGTGGCAATTGTAAAATAAACTCATTCTAACTTGATCTCGGCTCACTGCAGCCTTCGCCTCCCAGGATCCAACAATTCTGTCTCAGCTTCCTGGATAGCTGGGACTACAGGCATGCACCACTACACCCAGATAATTTTTGTATTTTTAGTGGAGATGGGGTTTCATCATGTTGGCCAGGCTGGTCTCAAACTCCTGACCCCAGGTGATCCACCTGCCTTGGCATCCCAAAGCGCTAAGATTATAGGCGTGAGCCACCGCACCCAGCCTCCACTTTAACTCTTAAACATCATTCTAGCCAAACTCAGTATTCAAACATAACAGGGTTTTTCAATTTGCAGGTTTCGACACACTAGCTAGCCACGTAATCAATTTAACATATTGTATCCAGCATATTTTTTAATGAAACAAAACAGATTGTAATATACTAGAGTAGACTATATATACATGCACTACTTTCAGAAATTTGTTTCAGATAAATGTGTGTGACTGCACACATGCTTCTTCATCATGACTACCTATCATGAGTCACCATAAAATTTCGGGAAAAAGTAACGAATACAGATGATACTTTCATTATCCTAGACTCTACTGAGCACTTCTCATCAAGATCACCAGTGACCTAATTGCCAAGTACAGTCTTCATCTTACTCTACCTCTAGGTAGCACCAAACACTGTTGACCTTCTCCTTGAAGAGTACTTTCCTAAGGCTCCCAGATACCACCACTATCTGGCTCTCACCCTGGTTCCCAGGGCACATCCCAGATTCCTTCACTTGCTCCTCTTCCTTGGCCTGCTAACATTTTAAATGTTGGTGCTTCCCGGGAATCTCTGTAACCCCTTTTCTTCTCTTTGCGTAACTCTGTTAAGGTGACATGCTAATGACTTTGAATATGCTTTACATAGCAACAACTCCCCATCTCCTGAATTTCAAACTCCAATAATCTATTCCCTCACAGACACTTCCACAAGAAACACAGATTAAATGTCACCAAAACCAAGTCCACTATTTTCCTCAAAAATCTGTGTGGAATTTTAGACCCTCTTATCCAACCACTATCCAAGGTAACATCTGAGAAACAGGATCACTTTTTATAATAGATTACTCATAGAAACAAAAAGATAATTTTTACATTTTAATCTTCATAGGTCTACCAATTTTCAAGGGACAGGAGGCACAAATTGCTATCCATTACCATTTTACTTAATTTGTGAAATATGAGGGTTCTTCAAAATGTTCATGGAAAAATGTATATTATGAAAAAACTATGCATGAAGTTCAAAATGTTTTGCACTGAAATACACTCATTCTAACTTGTTATAACATGTCTGAATAGGATCGGGTTTGAGACACTAACAAGGCTAAGACATTAGTTTGAAAAGAGCCCCAGTTAGAGATAAAACAAAAACTAATTGGTTAACACAAGAACAAACATCAAATTTATGGTGAGGTGTGGGTGGGTGGAAGAATGGTGAAATCACTGATACTTTACAAAAAGTTATGAGGACAATGCCCCAAAGAAACCAGCAAATGGATTCTTTGCTGGTTTACAAATGGATAACTCAGTTTAAGAAGGGATGAGACAATGTTAAAGATGAAGCCCACAGTGGCATACTGTCTACATCAATTTGTGAGGAAAGATTTCATCTTGTCATGCCTGAATTGAAGATCAATGATTAAGAGCAGAAACAACAGCCAACACCACAGATACCTCGAATGATTCAGGTTAACAATTCTAACTGAAAAACTAAAGTTGAGTACACTTTCTACTTGATGGATGCCAAAACCACTGCTTCCAGCTCAGCTGCAGACAAAAGCAGAGCTTTCAATGGAAAGTCTCAACAAGTGGGATCAAGATCCTGAAGTATTTCTTCAAAGAATTGTAACAGAAGATGAAATGTGGCTTTATCAGTACAATCCTGAAGACAAAGCAGAATGAAAGCAATGGCTACCAAGAAGTTGAAGTGATCCAGACAAGAGCAAAGGTCATGGCAACAGTTTTTTGAAATGCTCAAGGCATTTTGCTTGTTGACTTTCTGGAGGGCCAAAGAATGGAACAACTGCTTATTATAAGAGTGTAGGAAAGCTAGCCAGAGCATTAGCAGAAAAATGCCCAGGTAAGCTTCATCAGAGAGTCCTTTTCCACCACAACAATGTTCCTACTCATTCTTCTCATCAAAAAAAGGCCATTTGCAAAAGTTTCTATGGTAAATCATTAGGCATCCACCTTACAGTCCTGATTTGGCTCCTCCTGTCTTCTAGTTTCTTAATCTTAAAAAATCTTCAAAGGGCACCCATTTTTACGCTAATAAAGTAAAAAAGATGACACCGACATGGTTAAATTCCCAGGACCCTCAGTTCTTTAGATCTGAACTAAATGGCTGGTATCATCACTTAGAAGTGTCTTGAATTTGATGGAGCTTATGTTGAGAAATACAGCTTATATTTTTCATTTTTAATCTTTTAATTCCATTTTCCATGAACTTTCTGAAGTCTCCTTATATACAAGAACTAAAGTCTATCAATAAAACATACCATTTCATGACAATGATTTTAAAACATTTAAACACGTAAGCATGAAATAAGAGATTTTTATTGCATCTCCAAATCTTGCAACTTACTTCAACTTGGCAAGTCTGTCCCTGGTCTGATTAATTTCTTTTGATTTGCTATGCAGCCAGTCTTCAAGCTGTTTTTTGTTGGGAAAATATCCCAGCAGTGAGGTTAATTCATCACTGTGCCTCGATTTTATTTTTCTGATTTGTTCATCTTTGTCAGCCTATAAGTAAAAAACATCTTTTTGAAAATAAAGTCTAATATCTCCACATTATATCAAGAAAAATAAATTCTAGATTGACTACAGTTCTAAGCTTAAATCTATATAAATATGAAAATAAAATATAAAATTTCTTAAAGTCTTCAAGTGGGGATGGCCTTTCTAAGCCCTTAGAGTACCATGTCTAAAGATATAAAATTTTAAAACTTCTGTATGTTAACAGCAATGTGTATGTTTGTGTGTATATATACATATACATATAATTTGGTATTAACTTTTCGTAATTAAACAGTAACTTTTAAGCTTGAAAGTCTATAAGAGTACTAAGCTCACTTAGCCTCTAAAATATGAAGTCAATACCAACTTAATACCTTATAGTCTATAACTTATGAATGCAAGGTCAGCTATTTTAAATACCAGACAGTAAAACTAAAACAAAAAGAAAAATCATACTTTGTCTTTGGTTAGCATCTCCATCTGGGTCCGTGTTGTTGTATGATGGTTTAACTGCTCCATCTCCTGGTCAAGTTTACGCAGGGTCCTGTCTATGTCTGCTTTTTCATTTTGAAGGTTTATTACTTCCATTTTTAGAGTTTCTACATTGCTGTTTTTCTCAGCCTTGCTTAACTCACGTTCCTAGTCAATAATTCAAACAAATGCAAGGGTGTATCTATTTTGTGCAAGAATTAAAATGACAAAGGTGTATATATTTTGTGCAAGAATTAAAATAATGACAAAGTGTATTAGAGATTAATTACTCTGGCCGAGCGCGGTGGCTCACACCTATAATCCCAGCACTTTGGGAGGCCGAGGCGGGTGGATCAGGAGGCCAAGAGATCAAGACCATCCTGGTCACCATGGTGAAATCCCGTCTCTACTAAAAATACAAAAATTGGCCAGGTGCGGTGGCTCAAGCCTGTAATCCCAGCACTTTCGGAGGCCGAGGCGGGTGGATCACGAGGTCAAGAGATCAAGACCATCCTGGTCACCATGGTGAAACCCCATCTCTACTAAAAATACAAAAAAAAATTAGCTGGGCATGGTGGTGCATGCCTGTAATCCCAGCTATTCGGGAGGCTGAGGCAGGAGAATTGCCTGAACCCAGGAGGCGGAGGTTGCGGTGAGCCGAGATCGCACCATTGCACTCCAGCCTGGGTAACAAGAGCGAAACTCTGTCTCAAAAAAAAAAAATAATACAAAAATTAGCTGGGCATGGTGGCGCATGCTTGTATTCCCAGCTACTCAGGCAGCTGAGGTGGGAGAATTGCTTGAACCCAGGAGGTGGAGGTTGTAGTAAGCTGAGATTGCGCCATTGCACTCCAGCCTGGGTAACAAGAGCGAAACTTCATCTCAAAAAAAAAAAAAAAATTAACTACTCCTCAGAAATACTACTGTTTGTATCCAACAAGAGAAAAAAACATAAGGCACTATACATGCTTTAAGGTAAATCTTACTAAAGTAACCTTGCTAGGTTATAATGGTAGAGAATTAGTAAGTAAACCTAGAAGGGTCAAACAGAAAAGTGAGAATTAGTGAAAAATTAGGAAACGTATATCTATGTATACAGATTAGTAAGTCCTCAGTCAACAATTAAATATTTATTAAGTCCCCATGTAATTCACCATATTTCCTGATATGTAGAAACTATAAAAATAGTGTGATGTGGTCCCTGACCAGTGTCTCCCCACCCCAAGACAACACTGTGATAAAATGCTAAACTGACAAAAATGTATGCTACAATGGTGAGTTAGGAAACAAAAATAAATGTTTACACAGATAATCAAGATGGGCTTTATCAGATTTGTCAGGTTTTAGAATGCTTACCTTGGTGATAAAGATGTGAAGAAAGAGGACAGACTAGAAGCGAGACAGAAAATTTGGAAATACTTGAAAAGTTTGGCTAAGAAAGCTTTTACCACAGAAAAAGTAATAATACAGCAAAAATCATAGAGAATTACAATGTGTGTGACTTACAGGAAAAATACTTGCTTTTTTAAAAGTTTGGTTTTTTTTTTCTTTTTTTGAGAGAGAGTCTCACTCTGTTGCTCAGACTGGAGTTCAGTGGTGTGATCTCGGCTCATTGCAACCTCTGCCTCCCAGGTTCAAGTGATTCTCCTGCCTCAGCCTCCCAAGTAGCTGGGATTACAGGTACATGCCACCATGCCCAGCTAATTTTTGTATTTTAAGTATAGAAGGGGTTTCACCATGTTGACCAGGCTGGTCTTGAACTCCTGACCTCAGGTGATCGGCCCATCTTGGTCTCTCAAAGTGTTGGGATTACAGGAGTGAGCTACTGTGCCCGACCTCGTAAGTGTTCTTAATTAAGGTGCTCATAAGAATCACCTAGTTGTGTTGTGTTTTGAACATACATCTCTATGACCCACTCTCAGAGATTTTGATTTGGAAGGTCTGAAGCTTTACGGTCTAAGAACAGTATCTTTTAAAGCTCCCTAGGTGATTCTAATTTTCAACCTACCAGGTTGTAGAACCAGACTCAGAAGATCAAGATATTCAGATGAATCCATTTTACATAAGAACAAGACAAAGTTGATGTTTTTATTAAAATGCCATAATCTTAGGATTAAAAATAGACAAAATACTTCTAAATGTCTTATAGCTTAAAATTGTTAGATTATTCAAACAATATCTTACAGCTTTTATGAGCTCCTGGTCCAGTTCAAGAATCCGGTCTGAAGATCCTTCCAACTGCTGTAATTCATACTTCACATTTTTTAGCTCGTTCTGCTTCTTACTTAGGATTTCTGATTTTAACTCAATTATTCTTCCCAGTCCAGTTTTCTTATCTCTTATCTCATCTATCTGTTTTTGTTTCAGAGTCTCTTTTTCTGCAAAGTCATTCTAAATATATATGTAAAGAATGAGCATTAACAATTTACTAAACAATTTAAGAAAAAGGTTTTTAATTGCAAAAGGAATATATGTACACTGAGTACAAAATATAAAAAAGTACAGTCATGCATTTTTTTATCCCATCCTGGCTCAGCAGGGATATATTCCAAGAATGCATCATTAGGCAATTTTATCATTATGTGAACATCAGAATGTGTTTACATAAGCCTATATGGTATAGCTTACTACATATAGACTATATATGGTATAGCCTATTGTTTCCAGGCTACAAACCTATACAGCATAGAGCTATACTGAATGCTCTGGCAATTGTATAAACACGATGATAAGTATTTACCTATCTAAACATATCTAAACCTAGAAAACATACAGTAAAACACAATATTATAATTTTATGGGACCAATGTCAAATATGTGGTCCATCACTGACCAAAACATGTGGTACCAGACTATAGTTTAACAACTTGTCAAAACCATTACCCAGAGATAATCATTAACTGTGAGCAAATGTTTTCTTTGCAATTAGCTTTTAAAAAATTTTTACTTAAAACCAAATAAAAAATGTAGGTCTACATTTTCTTCATATTTGTGTTCTTATACACTTTAGAACATTTGCTTCAATAAAGGTTTTTCTGCCTTGGAGCAGAGTCTATCCTAACACTAATCTAAAAATATGCCAAAATGGAGTCCAACCAAAAATTAAAACAATTCAAGTAGAGAATCTGATGCAAACAAAGTAACAAATACTGTATTTCAAAATACTTGCCATGAGCTGGTTGGCAGTTTTTGTTTCCCTTTCTTGTCTCTCTTTCACAAGTTTGTGAAAGTTTTTAATCTGTCTTTCACTGAATGGTCCACGTTCAAAGCCATCCAATTCTAGTTGTGTTGCCAAAGACTGAATTAATGAATCTCTAGCTCGGATATGTTCTTGATGGCGATCTGCTTGTAGCTGTAGACGACCTTTAAAAAAAATCCAGTAACTTTTTTTCAACTGGTGCTTAAAAAGTTGAGATAGTTGTAGATTCACAAGTTATAAAAAATAATGCAGGCCGGGTATGGTGGCTCATGCCTGTTTTTTTTTGTTTGTTTGTTTTTTGTTTTTTTTGTTTTGTTTTTGTCTTGCTCTGTCCAGGCTCGAGCACAGTAGCACAATCTCTGCTCACTGCAAACTCTGCCTCCTGGGTTCAAGCGATTCTTCCGCCTCAGTCTCCTGAGTAGCTGGGACTACAGGCACATTCCACCACACCTGGCTAATTTTTAGTAGAGAGGGGGTTTCACCATGTTGGTCAGGATGGTCTTGATCTCTTGACCTTGTGATCTGCCCGCCTCGGCCTCCCAAAGTGCTGGGATTACAGGCGTGAGTGGTGGCTCACTCCTGCAATCCCAGCACTTTGAGAGGCTGAGGCAGAAGGATCACTTGAGGTTGGAAGTTTGAGACTAGCCTGACCAATATGGTGAAACCCTATCTCTACTAAAAATACAAAAATTAGCCAGGCTGTGGTGGTGGTGCGCGCCTGTAATCTCGGCTACTCAGAAGGCTAAGGCGGGAGAATCACTTGAACCCGGGAGGCGTATGCTGCAGTGAGCCAAGATCACATCACTGCACTCCAGCCTGGGTGACAGAGGAAGACCCCACTTCAAAAAAAAAAAAAATGTAGTGTGATCTCTCATACATTTTGCACAGTTTTCCCCAATGATAACATTCTGCAAAACTTCAGTATAATATCACAACCAGGATATTGACGTTGATGTAATTCATCAATCTTATTCAAATTTCTCCTATTTTATTTGTATCCCTGTGTATGTGTATGTATTAAGTTCTATATGATTTCATTACCTGTGAAGATTCATATATCCACTATGGCAGTCAAGATACTGAATAGTTCCAACATTATAAGAACCCTCTCTTTGTTCTAATCATAACCATACCCATCTCCCTCCTGACCCTTCTTTTACCCAGTATCCCTGGCAACCACTAATTTCTCCACTATTTCTAAAATTCTGAAATTAAAAAATGTTATATAAATGGAAACATACTGTGTATAACCTTTTAAGATTGGCTTTTCAGTCAGCGTAAGTTCTTGGAGATTCTTCATTCATACAGAAAATGTATAGTATTATAGTAGGAAAACAGACCAAATAAAAATTTTATCCTACCCTGTTCAACAAGCAGTTCTGATTTTTCTTGATTGAGAAGCCTAGATTCTTTATTTAATTTTTCCAGTTCACGCTGACAGTCTACCAACTTCCTTTCTTTCTCCCTTACTGTCCTCTGGTGATTGTGATATAAGTCATTTAGTTGCTCATCAGTCCCTTGAAAAACCTGTGTAACACCAAAATAAAAAGCTTTAATGTACAAACATAAGAAAATAGGATCACTCTGAGGTACCAGATATGAACCAAACCTTATTCAATATTCTTCATTTTAACATATATATAGAAGTAATACAAAGATCAAGATCTGTATTTGTTTTTTTCCCAACGTGGATGGCAAAATAAATTCAAATAAAGTTCATTACAATAATCCCAAAATTCTGAAGTAGAACAACATTCTATCACCACAAACCTTTTCCATTTTCTGTTCCAGTTCACTATTATCTTTCTCCATTTGCTTCTTTCGGCTCTCCAAGGCTTTAATTTCATTGTCAAGTCTCATTATTTTAGAGAGATTATGTTCAATTTCTTTTAGACGATTCTGAAAATAAACACACATTACATAAATAAAACTCACTATAGCTTATATGCCTGATAGATGAAGACAAGTAAGATACTCCAGGTCCAGTGATCTCATTTAATGCTAACAATAACACTGTAAAGCAGGCCTAGAAAAACTGAAGCTCAGAGGCATTAAGTAACTTGTCCAAGTCCTCACAGCTAGTAGACAGAAGCAGGAATTAAATTACACTTCTAACTCCAAACACCATGCCCTGTCCTCAACATGTCCCACAAAAGTCATTCATTCTTTGGGCACTTAGAGTTACAATATGTAAAGCAGCACATTTTAAGAATGTAACTATTTAATGTATTTTTTTTTTAAGTCAGTACTATTGAGAGGGCTAGATACTCATAGTGAGTTACCAGTATATTCTGAGCCTGTAGGCAAATTTACATGAAGAGTACACTTTAATCCAAAGCTTGCTCAAATCACAAAGGACTCTGAGCAAGTAAAATACAACAAATGAACTCAGTGACCTGCTCTGAGGCTAGCTTCCAGAGAGAGCTGGTTGCCTCATCTCCTAGGAATACTGGGATCTGGTTCGGGGCATTCTCTTACTGGATGAAGCTGGGGATATTCTTTCAGTATTTGCCTCTATGATTCCAAAGCCGATCAACTCTTCTTCTAAGACATTTTTAGAACCTAATTTTATTATTATTATTTTAAATGCAGAGACAGGGTCTTGCAATGTTGCCCTGACTGGAGTGCAGTGGCCATTCACAGGTGCAATAACAGTGCAAAACAACTTGAACTCCTGGGCTCAAGTGTTCCTCCCACCTCAGCCTCCAAGTAGCTGGGACTATAAGTATGTACCACCATGCCCAGCAAAACCTAATTTTAAACTAACATATTAAGTTACTGGAATGCTTAGCTAGCAATTGCAAACTTTCATAACTGCACCAAAATGCATCCTCAACTTTAACATAATTTATTAAAATTATACTAATAGCATACCTTATGATTTGTATATGAATGTAAATGGCTTAAAAAACAAAAACTTGGCTGGGCGCAGTGGCTCACACCTATAATCCCAGGACTTTGGGAGGCCGAGGCGGGAAGATCATGAGGTCAAGAGATGGAGACCATCCTGGTCAACATGGTGAAACCCCGTCTCTACTAAAAATACAAAAATTAGCTGGGCATGGTGGCGCGCGCCTGTAGTCCCAGCTACTCGGGAGGCTGAGGCAGGAGAATTGCTTGAACCCAGGAAGTGGAGGTTGTGGTGAGCCGAGATCACGCCATTGCTCTCCAGTCTGGGTAACAAAAGTGAAACTCCATCTCAAAAAAAAAAACAAAACAAGAACTTTGTTTACTTTGTTCCCTAAGGTATCCCCAGAACATGCAATAGGTGTTCAATGTTAGCTAAATACAAGAGAGATTTGGAAAAAATAATTTTACCAAGAACAACAGTCACAGGTATTACTGATTGAATGCCTGCTATGTTCTAAATATTCTATTAGGTGCTGCTATAAATTCTCTCTAATCCTCACAAAACTATATACTAAGCAGGAGACTCAAACGACTTAACTGACTTGTAGAAAATCGTAGATTGGGAGATAAGATGATAATGATAAGATTAGGAGGTAGGGTATCAATGACTAGACTCTGGGTACTAGAAGTAGACATTTATATGTAAGAAAGTAAACATCAGCATTTATCTCATGTCACATTAAGAATCTGATATGAAGCATATACTTAATTTTAAGAACCCAAACTATATAACTTTTAGAGGAAAACACTGAAAAATATTTTTGTGACACTGGGTCAAAGACTTCTCTAAATATGAAATGAAAAACATAAACCATAAAAGAAAAAGTTGATAACTGTACCCCATCAGAATTTAAAACTCCCGTCCCCTGAAAGGCAGATAAGAAAATATCTGCAAAACAAATATCTGATAGAGGGCTTGTATCCAGAACGTACTTAGAACTCTCTGACTGGCACTGTAGCTCACACCTATAATCTCAACACTTTGGGACACTGAGGCAGGTGGATCACTTGAGCCCTGGTGAGACCTTGCCTCTACGAAAAAATCAAAAAACATCAGCCAGGTGTGGTGGTGTGTGCCTGTAGTCCCAGCTACTCGGGAGGCTGAGGTGGAAGGATCACTTGAGCCTGGGAGGCAGAGGCTGCAGCGAGGCAAGATCGCGCCATTGCACTCAGGCCTGGGTGAGAGAGCGACAGACACCCTGTCTCAAAAAAGAAAAAAGATCTCTCACAGATTAATAATTAAAAGATCAATAAATAAATAAAATTGAAAAGTAGGCAAAAGATTTTTATATTTTACTACCAAAGATATTCAGATGGCAAATACATGAAAAGATGCCCCAAATCAAGCCAATCAACTGACTGACTGATCAACTAGGAAAACACAAGTTAAAACTATAAAGAACTACAACCTCACAATAAGATACAACTAAACACCTACCATTATGGCTAAAATGACATACGACTGACAGTTATGTCGTTTTAGCCATATGAAATGAAAAAGACTGACAGTACTAAGTGTGGATGAGAATGCAGAGAAATTACATTCTCATACACTACGAAGCATATGAGAAAGTGTAGGACTACAAAGTGGTGCAGCCATCTGGCAACTTAGAAGGTTAAACATACACTTACCATACAACCTAGCAACCCCATTCCTAAAGTTATCCAAAAGAGATAAAAACCCGACCAAACAAAGACCTGTATACAAAAGTTTGTAGCAGTTTTATCTGTAACAGCCAAAAGCTGAAAACAACTTAATGTCCATTAGCAGGGATGGATGAGGAAAAAAATTATAATATATGCATACAATGGAAGGAATGCTCCTCAGCAATAAAAAGGAATGAATTATTCACACATGCAGCAACACAGATAAATCCCAGACACAAAAGTCTGCATACTGTATGAGTCTATATATGTGCCACTCTCTGGAAAAGGCAAAATTATAATGACAGAAAACAATCAGTGGTTCTTATGGATCAGAACAGGGGGAGAGGACTGACTACAAGGACTTTGAGAGGAACTTTTCGGGGTGACTGAAATATTCTACATCTTCATTGTAGTGCTGGTTATGCTACTGTATGCATATGTCCTAACTCATAGAATTTATACTCTAAAAAGGGTGGATTTTGCCATATACATATTATACCTTAATAAATTTGACCTAAAAAGAAAAAAAAAGTAGGCTGGGCATGATGGCTCACGCCTGTAATCCCAGCACTTTGGGAGGCTGAGGCGGGCGGATCACGAGGTCAAGAGATCGAGACCATCCTGGCCAACGTGGTGAAACCCAGTCTCTACTAAAAATACAAACATTAGCTGGGCGTGGTGGCATGCACCTGTAGTCCCACCTACTCAGGAGGCTGAGGCAGGAGAATTGCTTGAACCTGGGAGGTGGAGGTTGCAGTGAGCTGAGATCGTGCCACTGCACTCCAGCCTGGCACCTGGCGACAGAACGAGACTCTGTCTCAAAAAAAAAAAAGTATAAATTTAGGAACCAGAGGACTCAAATCCTAACCCTTATTTCCACTATGAACACCTGTGCCTCAGTTTTCTTGCCTATACAACCTCACAGAGTTACTATGGGGTTTACACAATACATTTTAAAGCAATTGGATCAGTGTTAGGCAGTAAACATTCAATTAATGAGACCATATGCACCACTTGTGGAAAAAAAAATTCTGTACTTATTTTCTAACAAAGAGAACTGAATGGATACTTAAGAGCAATGAATACTGACAGCTCCGCTATGATACTCTGTAAAGTGCTCAGTTTCTCTCCATCAGTGTTTTCATTGCCTCTTGGTAGCACAAACATTATGATAAACATCTAGACGTGGATCTTTCATGACACCTCTACCTGCTTCATTCCATAAATCCAGTCAGTCACCAGATGATCCCCTGGATTTCTTCTTTGACATCTGTGTTTTGGTTCTAATCTCAGAACACAAAACGTAAGTTCTATCCCCAGAGTACTCACCTAGTAAAAGGAACTAAGACAAGCCAACAGACAACAACAACAAAAACAGCCAAGTGTTTAAAGCTTGGGTGTCTGTGTGAAATGAGACCAAAAAATAGAGCCACTGGGCTATCAAGTATAAAAGGACCATGAACTTGTATATAGAAAAAAAAAATTAGAAACATATTCCTCTAGCAATTTCCATTTAAGGCAAGAAAGTAAAACAGATCCAAGTAGGCCAAAAAAAGAGGGCAGGATATGGTGGGATTGTAATAAAGTCATTTATGAGAGTGAGAATTCCTGAAGATGGAGGGAATCAGTAAAAATGGGAAAGGATGAATTCCAGTGCAAGGTTGAAAGGAAGCAGTCTTTTCTGGGAAGGTGAACCCAAACTTTATCTGGGTTCTATGAAGAGAAGAACCTTCACAAGTCAGAGCTAAAAAAGGACTTTGGAAGTCATCTACTTTATAAATATTTATTGAACCACCTGCTATGTGCCAGGCACTAGGCTAGGCTCTGAGGATACAGCAAAAAATATTAAACCCTTGGAGAATTACTCACAATTAAACACAAAAAGTACATAAATACCTCAACCTCTGCTACAGCCTTGGTTAGAATCTTGGCACCACTCACTAAATCCTGGGTATTAATCATTTAGCCCTTCCTTGATATCATTTCCAACATAAATGCTTCTTTTCAATAATATGTATTTCCTTGATAGTGTTCAAAGACAGCTTGCATTTTACGGTCTCTATGTCTCCAATGAATGACCCACTCATTTATGATCAATGAATTCATGGCCAAATTCAGTCCTATGAAATCCTCTCTGGCTACCTCAGACAAAAATTCTCTTCCTTTACCCTCAGAGCTCCTACAGGTCTTGTTTTTTTTTCTGCCTTACCATTACATATGTTTGTCATCTCTCCAACCAGGATGCTTCTCAAGAAAATAAAATGTGGAGTAGGGGATGGGGGAAAGAAGAAGAAAAAAAATATTTTCCAGTATCTTAGTAACTACCACAGTACCCACACAGAGTTGCCAGGACAATTCATCCTAAAATGTAACATACTCTTCCATTCTTCTATTGAACTAAGTCTGAAATGCATTAGCTCTCTATAATCTGACCCCGATTCATATTGATCATTTACTCCTTTTATATAGATTTACTTAACACATACTCTTCCTCTCACAATCCTGTTCTGTTTAAGCTTGTACATGTAAATATATACATAAATACAAATGAATGTTTGTATATACTGTATGCATGCAGTTAAAAAAAGCTGCAGGTAGAATATACTCTGGAAGGTCAGAAATGAGAAATGGAGAGTATCTTTTACTTTTCACATAATAACTTCTTCACCGTAGGCATATGTTACTTTTAAAAGAAAAGTCAAAATAAATACAAACATATATAAAATGTCTTCTAGTTTGCTGATTTGATTGCTTCCCATTCTTCAAGGCCCATCTCAGTCCTGCCTCACCCCAGAAGCCCTTGCAATATATTTCTATGCACGACCATCGTTAAAAATATATATATTTTCTACTTCGCAATTTAAAGATCTATACTAGTATTTATAGGGGAGTTTTTAAAAACCAAATCAATAGATTTTTGAAAATCTATCTAAAACCTAGAAAACAACCATTTTTAAGAATGCTCTTACTTACTCAGACTGGGAATACCTTAAGGACAGGGGTGCTGTTGTAATCCTCTTTGTACCCAAGCACAGTATACCCTGGCACAAAGAAGAACCCTATAAACACTTATTAAATGAATGAATGGAATTTCCTGTAGGCCCTTCATATAAATCACGGGGTTTAAAAAGCTATATTCACTTGCACATATATCAACATGTTATGGATCAATTCCAAATTCTGCATAATTTTTAAATGTTTCAAAAATGTCCTACAAATTTTAAAAATTCTCTAGAACTGTAAATTTTTTAAAAATCTTAATACAGGACTGTAAGTTTGGGTAATAATATTGCTATTTAACATCTAGTGATCTATACTACTAATTTAGTATGATGCTACAAATTTGTTTTCTTTCAAATCCAAACTCTTTGAGCAATTTAAAGACTAATATAGATCTAAAACATTAGCTCCCTGATAACTGAAGAAATATACATGCCATTCGATTTCATATACAAATAAGGGGTGAATGCTACCATAGTTAAAAAAAAAAAAGACTACTCTTTAGTATATAAGAAATTAACTACTGTATATCACTATGACTCTAGTTAATAACATTACTTTAGTTATGTTTAGTTAATAACATTATGTTAATTGCTAACAGAGATTTTAAATGTTCTCACCACAAAAAAATTTGAAGCAATGCACGTTAAACAGCTTGATTTAGCCATTCCACAATGAACACTTACATCAAAACATCACGTTGTATACCATAAAGATATGTAATTTTTGTCAATTAAAAATAAAATCAAATTACCTTCAATGGATCAAGTTCATTCTCATAGGATTTGACAATTTCCTTTGAAGATGTTAACTGGGCTTCCTTACTTGTAATCTGATCACGAATCTCACAAGCTTTTTCCTTATTTTGCTTCAGATATTTGAGTTCCATTTGATATTCCTTTACTTTCTGACCTTGTGTCTGACGTACTTGCCGAAGTGTTTCCAAGGCTTTAATGTATCTTTGAAGATATAAAATAAAAATCAAATTTCTGGCAAAGTAAATTACAGTATATATTCATACAGTGCGATATTATGCTATCACTAAGATTACCATTACAATGAGTTTTTAATAACTTGGAAAATGCCTATGGCACAATGACAAGTGAAAAAAATTATATTCATACTGTCAATCAGGTAAATAAATATATGCACAGAAAGTGAAAGAAAATATGCCCAATGGTTGCTGCTGGATGAGAGGTAATAATTGATGATCATTCTGCTTTTTAAATTTTTTCTGTTAAAAAGAAGCATCCAAATTGTAAACATGGTTCAATAACTTAATGGACTACAAAGTCTTTAAGGGTTACAAACCTTGCTGCTGAAAAAATCTCATCAAACTTTTGCTTCAAAGCCTTTCCTTCACTTAAAGGCCAATTAGAATCTTCTTGATGACAGAAAATGACATTATTTAGCACAGCCTTGGAAACCCCAAGAGAACTGATCATTTCTCGGTCAATTTCTGCACACTTAGAGCTTAGACTGACCTTTTCACCATGCCTACAGAAAATGAAAATCAAGAACATACATAAAATAACCTTCAGTTGTACCTAATCTGTTGTTTAATCAATTCATACTGTACTTCTTTAAAAAAAAAAAAAAAAGGCCCTTCACCTATCTCCTGTTAGAAATGGCTTCATCATGCTAAAAAGTGTAACTCTTAAACTATTTAACATTCACAGATGAAAAGATATGTAAAACAAAGTTGTTCAGGAAAGGAAGCCAGAATTTATTTTTTACATATTTGGACTTTTAAATACAATAAATTAGAATAGTTACAGATAACACATACAGTGGTATTGTCTTTAAAATAAGAGACTTAAAGAATAAAACAAAACATGATAGTCAACAGCAGATAGGCAAAGGTAAGTTAAAAAACATCTTAGAACAGAGTTCTTTCTTCAGTAACAGACTGCTTCAAGGAGCAGAGGCATTATCTGTCTTTACTGTTTTTTATACATTCCAATTTGTATTTTGAAAACATACTGGGCCAAGCACAGTGGCTCACACTTGTAATTCCAGCACTTTGGGAGGCCAAGGCAGGCGGATCACCTGAGGTCAGGAGTTTGAGACCAGCCTAACATGGTGAAACCCTGTCTCCATTAAAAATACAAAAAAATTAGCCAAGTGTGGTGGAAGATGCCTGTAATCCCAGCTACTTGGGAGGCTGAGGCAGAAGAATCACTTGAACCCGGGAGGTGGAGGTTGCAGTGAGCCAAGACCATGCCATTGCACTCCAGGCTGGGGAACAAGAGTGAAACTCCAACTCAAAAAAAAAGAAAAAAAAATATTACACTGGATATACTAAGAATGCTTTGTAGAGGACTAGAATAGACACAGATAGATCAATAGGTTATCACATTAGGTCACGAAAAGATCATAGTAGCTTGGACTAGAATGGTTGTTGTAGAAATGGAAACAGATTCAAGAGACATTTAGATTAAATCTGCAGGTCTTAGTAATAGACTGGATATGGAAAGCAAGGATGGTATCAAGACTTAGGTTCTTGTTTTTTGTCACTGGACGGATAGTGGTGTCATTCACCAAGGTGAGGCATATCATAAGACCAGGTTGTTGCAGGTTTTTAAAGGGGGGAAAGTCAAAGAGAAAGGACTGTGAGTTTGGTTTTAGACATGTCGAATCTAAGCTGTCTTTGAAACAACTGGTAAAAAATCAGAGATGGTTAAAAAGGCCTGGATAAATGGGTCTGGAAACAGAGGTCTGGTTTGGAGATATAAATCTGTGAGTCATCTATGAACACAGAATAGTCTGAGTTATGGAAAAGAATGTGATTACCTAGGAAGAAAATACAGAGCAAAAAAAAAAAGGCGAAGATATAGGACTAAGCCTAATGAGACTTCCAAGCTTTATTGATGGGGTAAATGAAGTAGGTTTTAGCTATGATAGAGAGAACAGCAATGGATCATAAAGGTCTAGAAAAAGTAATTTTCAAATAAGAAGTGATAAACTAGCATTTACTCGCTATGGTACATGGAACAATGGTCCTCCAAGATGTTCTCATTTTAATCCCTTGAATTTGTGAATGTTACATTGCACAGCAAAAGAGAATTAAGATTACAGATAAAATTAAGGTGTTAATCATTTGACCTCAAAATAAATTATCCTAGATTATTTGGATGGGACAAATGTAATCATATGGGTTCTTTAATGTGACAAAAGAAGGCAGAAGAGGTCACAGTGATTTGATATGAGAAGAACTATGGTCACTACTGCTTGTTTTGAAGAGAGAGTAAGTGGGTCATGAGCTAAAACACATGGGTGGCCTCTAAAAGACGAAAAGAATAAGGGAACATACTCTCCCTTAGAGCCTCCAGAGGAACATAACTCTGCTAACCTCTTGGTTTTAGCCCAGTGAGACCCAATTCAGACTTCTAAACTACAGAAGTGTAAGATAATAAATGTGTATTGTTTATGTCACTAAGTTTGTGGTTTGTTTTGCAGTCATAGAAGACTAATTCATAAACTCTTACTACATATTAAGCATTTTACATGCATTGGCTTAACCTTGACAACATCTTGCTAAGATATGCACAGTGACAATGAATGCCTAAATGAAATAAACAGAGGCTCACTCTTAGGTCTACTTGTATAGCTGCGTACCCTTACCCTAATTAAAAATAGTTATTAGTAACTTTAGTCAGCGGTGTTTCAGAGGACAAATGGGACTGCAGCTGGAGTGAAGAGGAGGTAAAGAAATGGAGACAGCATCAAAAACTCTTTTGAGAAGACTGGCTATAAAGGGGAAGAAGGAGACAGGCAGTAATTGGAGTTTGGAATGAAATCCCAGGGTCTAAGACAGACTTGAATGTGTTAAAACATCAATGATGAAAATCTGATTGAGAAGCCAGTGTAGTGCCTCTAGCACATAGTAGATGTGCATTATTGGTTAAATAAAGGAATCAACTTAATCAATTAAACAAATAAAAGGGAAGGGAAGAAGCTGAACAGTCAAGTAATTTGCTCAACAAAGACAGAGACTTGAATCTAAGGCAGCCTAATCCCCAAATCCATACCCATTAGAAAATGATACCTGCCTCTAACAGAATAATAATAGTTGAAAGGGACAATTTATCATTCTTTCCTATTTGTCTGTTTCCCATCTCACCCATTCTTACACATGACACTAGAAGTTCTTACTCATTCAACCTGTATTTGAGTGAGTATGTGCTTTCATTCAGCAATTGTTCAGAAATTACTCAAGAGAATGGAACATAACGCTAAGTCTTTAATGGGACCATTTTATTTAACTGATAAACAGTATCCACAAAAATCAAATGTTGATAGTGGAGGAGTCTGTGTGCGTGTGTATGGGTAGGGAGAAAATGGAAGCTCAGTACTTTCTGCCCAATTTTGCTATAAACCCAAAATTGCTCTAAAAAAATAGTCTAAAGTCTGTTGAAAAAAATTTAATATGCTCCCCTAAACTTAAAGCAATAGAAAACCACCACCAATTTACAGACCTAAAAGGCTGAAAATGAACAGAAATTCAAATATCATATAAACACCTACTTTGTTCTAGTAATGACTCCTTCCAGAGTTTTAAATTCTGTCTTTTTGCTTTTCTGAGTACATATCATAGATCTTTGTACAGCTATAAGTTCTCCATTGACATCACGAAATTGCAGACGAATCTGGGCTCTCACATCTGTTTCTTGAGCAACCTTTGAAAGAAAACAGAGAAAAAACTTATGTTACTTTAATATGCACCAGAGTGTTGGTTCAGAGAAAAAAATGCATAAGCAATCTTACTTGCCCAAAATGACGGAAAAGAAAGACAAATATTCTGAGTGAGTGACATTTTTACATTCTATCCAACACATAGAAGAAAATAATACTATTTAATTAATTTATAAAAATGATATATTATCTACCTCCTTTATTCACCATCATTAGATCAGGTATGCAGATTTTTCAAATAAATGAATTTTATCTCTTTAAGCATCACAAATGTTTTTTATCATTAAAAATCACAAGTTTATAGAAAGGTAGAATGATATGGTTTGGCTTTGTCTCTACCCAAATCTCATCCTAAATTTCCAAGTATTGCAGTTACCTCCCAGTGGGAGGTAACTGAATCAATGGGGCCAGGTCTTTCCCATGCTGTTCTTCTGACAGTGAATAAGTCTCATGAGATTTGATTTTTTTTATTTGAGACGGACTCTCAGTCTGTCGCCAGGATGGAGTGTAGTAGTGCAATCTCAACTCCCTGCAACCTCCGCCTCCTGGGTTCAAGCAATTCTCCTGCCTCAGCCTTCCGAGTAGCTGAGACTACAGGCACACACCACCATGCCCAGCTAATTTTTGTATTTTTAATAGAGATAGGGTTTCACCATGTTGGCCAGGATGGTCTTGATCTCCTGACCTTATGATCCACCCACCTTGGCCTCCCAACATGCTGGGAATACAGATTTGAGCCATCACGCCTGACGAACCCAATGGTTTTATAAGGAGTTTGCGCAAGCTCTCTTTGCCTACTGCTGTCCACCTAAGATGTGACTTGCCTCCTTGCCTTCCGCCATGATTGTGAGGCCTCCCCAGCCACATGGCACTGTAAGTCTATTAAACCTCTTTCTTTTGTGAATTCCTCAGTCTCAGGTATATCTTGATCAGCAGTGTGAAAACGAAATATACAATAAACTGGTACCAGGAGTGGAACACTGCTAAAGTTATCTGAAAATGTGAAAGTGACTTTGGAACTGAGTAATAGGCAGAGGATAGAACAGTTTGGAGGGCTCAGAAGAAGACAGGAAAATGTGGGAAAGTTTGGAACTCCCTAGAAACTTGTTAAATGGCTTTGACCAAAATGCTGATAAGAATATAGACAATGAAATCCAGGCTGAGGTGGTCTCAGATGTATAAGGAACTTGTTGGGAACTGGAGCAAAGGTGACTCTTGTTCTTTTAGCAAAGAAACTGGGAGCATTTTGCCCCTGCCCTAGAAACGTGTAGAACTTTGAACTTCAGAGAAATGATCTGGGGTGTCTAGCAAAAGAAATTTCTAAGCAGCAAAGCTCTCAAGAGGTGACCTGGGTGCTGTTAATGGCATTCAGTTTTAAAAGGGAACCAGAGCATAAAATTTGGAAAATTCACAGCTTGACAACATGATAGAAAAGAAAATCCCATTTTCTGAGAAGAAATTCAAGCCAGCTGCAGAAATTTGCGTAAGTAAGGAGGAACCAAATGTTAATTACCAAGACAATAAGGAAAATGTCTCCAGGGGCATGTCAGAGATCTCTGCAACAGCCCCTCCTATCACAGGCCTGGAGATTTAGGAGGAAAAAATGGTTTCGTAGGCCAGGCCCAGGGTCCCTCTGCTGTGTGTAGTAGGCACTTGGCGCCCAGTGTTCCAGCCACTCCAGCCGTAACTAAAAGGGCCAGGGTACAGCTTGGGCTGTTGCTTCAGAGAGTGGAAGCCCCAAGCCTTGGCAGCTTCCATGTGGTGTTGAGCCTGTGGGTGCACAGAAGTTAAGAACTGAGGTTTGGGAACCTCCACCTAGATTTCAGATTTCAGAGGATGTATGGAAACACCTGGGTACCCAGGCAGAAGTTTGCTGCAAGGGCAAGGCCCTCATGGAAAATCTCTGCTAGGGCAGTATGGGAGGGAAATGTGGGGTTGGAGACTCCACTCAGCATTCCTATGTAGGGGCTGCCTAGTGGAGCTGTGAGAAGGTGGCCACTGTCCTCCAGACGGGGAGATTCCCCCAGAATGGTAGCTCCACTGACAGCACGCACTATGCACCTGGAAAAGCTGCACTCAACACTAGCCTGTGAAAGCAGCCAGGAAGGAGACTATACCCTGCAATGCCACTGGGGCAGAGCTGCCCAAGACCATGGGAGCCCATCTCTTTTGATCTGGATGTGAGACACAGTCAAAGGAGATCATTTTGAAGCTTTAAGATTTGCCTTCCCCACTGAATTTAGGACTTGCATGAGGCCTGTTGCCCCTTTGTTTTGGCCAATTTCTCCCACTTGGAATGGCTGTATTTACCCAATCCCTGTATCCCTACTGTATCTAAGAAGTTGATTTTACAGACTCATAGGCAGAAAACACTTGCCTTGTCTCAGATAAGACTCTGGACTGTGGACTTTTTGAGTTTTTGCTGAAATGAGTTAAGATTTTGGGGGACTGTTGGGAAGGCACGATTGATTTTGAAATATAAGGACGAGAGACTGTTTTGCTTTTTAAAAGATGGGATGGGGAGAATGATCCAAGATGGCCGATCGCTAACATCCCGGGATTGCAGCTCTCAGGGAAGGAGCGGAGAACTAGAGGACGCCACACTTTCAGACAAATTCTGGTCGCTCATGGAGCAGAAGATCCCCCAGTGGAGGAAACACACGGGTGGCCAGCGCGACTCTCGTGGCTGGCGCAGCGGTTCCGCGGGCACCTCGGCGCGGCAGCTCTTGGAGCAGAGTAAACAGGTTTAGAGGACCCACAAGGGCCCCCAGCACAACACCAGAGCCCGGCCCAGCGGCTGTGACGGCACTTCGGTGCGGCAGCGCTCGGCGCAGAGTAAACGGACCGGTTCCCCTTCTGACCAAGGTTTGGAGCCCCGGGAAGGCAGAGTTGCCTACTAGGGACACAAGAAGGAAGCCCGACAGGAGAATCCTGGGCAGAAAAGCACCATCAGTTTTAACGCCGCTGCTCTGGCCCTGGGAACTAACAACCTGGATGTCCACTCAAGAGACCTAATCTGAAAGTTGGTAATTTCAAAGATGGCAGGAGGATAAATTTACAATGACGGGAAGAAACCAGCGTAAAAAAGCCGAGAATACTCAAAGTCAGAACGCCTCTCCCTCTAAAGATGATCACAGTTCCACATCAACAATGGAACAAGGCTTGATGGAGAACGAGTGCCTCCTGATGACAGAATCACTCTTCAAGGAATGGATAATAACAAACTTCGGTGAGTTAAAAGAACACGTTGTAGCCCAACGTAAAGAAACTAGCAACTTTGAAAAAAGGTTTGATGAAATCCTATTGAGAATAGACAACTTAGAGAGGAGTATGAGTGAATTAATGGAACTGAAGAATACAATACAGGAACTCCGAGAAGTATGCACAGGTTTAAACACTCGAATTGTTCAAGCAGAAGAAGGGATATCAGAGGTCAAAGTCCAACTTAATGAAATAAAACGTGAAGAAAAGATTAGAGAAAAAAGGATAAAAAGGAATGAGCAAAGTCTCCAAGAAATGTGGGACTATGTGAAAAGACCAAATTTACATTTGATAGGAGTACCTGAATGCGACGGAGAGAATGAATCCAAGCTGGAAAATACCCTTCAGGATATTATTCAGGAAAATTTTCCTAAACTAGCAAAGCAGGTCAACATTCAACCCCAGGTAATACAGAGAACACCACAAAGATATTCCTCAAGAAGAGCAACCCCAAGGCACATAATCGTTAGATTCACCAGGGTTGAAACGAAGGAGAAAATACTAAGGGCAGCCAGAGAGAAAGGTCATGTTACCCACAAAGGCAAGCCTATCAGACTCACAGCAGATCTCTCAGCAGAAACTCTACAAGCCAGAAGAGAGTGGGGGCCAATATTCAACATCCTCAAACAGAACCTTCAGCCCAGAATTTCATATCCAGCCAAACTAAGCTTCACAACTGAAGGAAAAATAAAATCTTTTATGAACAAGCAAGAACTCAGAGATTTTATTACCACCAGGCCTGCTTTACAAGAGCTTCTGAAAGAAGCATTACACACAGAAAGAAACAACCAGTATTAGCCTTTCTAAAAATACACCAAAAAGTAAAGAGCACCAACATAAAGAAGAATTTACACCAACGAATGGATAAAATAGCCAGTCAACATCAAATGGCAGTAACCCTAAATTTAAATTGACTAAATCCCCCAATCAAAAGACACAGCCAAAACCCAATGGCATGTTACATCCAGACCTGTTTCACATGCAAGGATACACAAAGACTTAAAACAAAGGGATGGAGAAAGATTTACCAACCAAATAGAGAGCAAAAATAAATAATAAATAAATAAAAAGCAGGAGTTGCAAATCTCGTAGCGGATAAAATAGATTTTAAAGCAACAAAGATATAGTGGTAAAAGGATCTATGCAACAACAAGAGCTAACGATCCTAACACCCAGATACATAGAGACTTATACTCAATGAGACAGAAAATTAATAAGGACATCAAGGACTCGAACTCAGATCCAGAACAAGTAAACTTAATAAATATTTATAGAGCTCTCCACTTCAAATACACAAAATATACATTCTTGTCAATACCACATCACATCTATCCATAAGTTTAAATGAAACATTGATTGGTCATTAATAATACCCAATTTTTTTCAAAATAAAGCAATATTTCCATTTACTCTCCCTCTTTCTCTTCCTCTTTCTTCCTCTCCTTTACTTATTTTTTTTTTTCCTTCTCTCAAAAAAAAAAGAAATCAACTTGTAAACCTCTAGATCCAGGTCGGCAATATTTCTCTCATTGCTTGATTTCCTTCCTTCCCTCCCTCCCTCCCCGCTTCCTCCCTTCTTTCCTTCCTTCATCCCTTCCTTCCTCCCTACCATCCTTCTTCCCTCCCTTCCAGCCTTCCTCCCCCCCATAAAAAAAAAAAAAAAAAAAAAAAAAGAAATATAAGGACATGAGATTTGGGCGGGACCAGGGTTTTGATATGGTTT